CTTGAAAATGCTAATTGAAGGCTGAAGATACAAACACGCACACACACACATGGCTTTTTGTATCTCTGGGATTGCCATGTGCTGAGTCATTCCTGCCTCGTTGGGCGATATCAAGTTTGGCAGTCGAGATGAGCGCATTTCTATGAAATCTCCTCCGGTCGGTTGGTTGAAAGTTGGTTGAAACAACAACAAAACAAAAACGTGCTAATTGATGGCCTAGTCTCTAAAAACATTTGGCTAAAAGGTTCACAAATGTTTGCACACAAGAAATGTGGCAGTATTCAAAGTACATTGCAGAGTATGAGTTCTCAATTTGTAATTGTAGCAAAATTGGTCAGCACATATGCATATTTGCTCTAAATTTATATTTGCTTAATATACATATATTTAGTTGATTTCTTATTATACATCCGTCTTTTTACAGCAGGTAGAAACCGTTTAGACTTACTAGAATCGAAATTTCAAGTGTCGGGATTGTGACTTCGGGTTTAAAGGGATTTCTTCTTATTTTTTATTTTTCTACTTCTATTTTATTTACTGTTTTTATATAAAGTTAATTGTATTTTGATTACTTTACCTTATGAGCTAAGATTTATGATCAATAAATAGTCAAGTTATAAAAATGCATCAAGGGTAATAAATATAGCCCTTTGCCTTATAATTTACGATAATTAGCAACAATTGACCATCCCCACTTTCCATGCTGGCTAACCATCGAGACAAAACCAATCAAAGTTTAGTTTGCAACTTTCGCCTGTCAGCGATTAGCGATCAACGATAGACCAGCGACCAACGACGATCAATGCCCTTTTTCAATTGTTTGATTGAATGAGGAATTGCTTCATTTGCTGCACAATTATTCAATAGCCAATAATGCACACGCAGGCAAGCAGTTAGCAGTTAGCCAGCTCCTGGCCATGGTCAACATGTGCCGATGGTGGCCAACGCTTGGCTGCTTCTTTTTTTGGGTAGCGCCCATAATTCAAGTTAGCCAACATCATATAAAACGCATGGGCATGAACAACAACAACAGCAGCAGAAACAACAGCAACAAATCAAAACAGCAAAATGGTTTGCCATGACAAAAGATTTTAATTGAATTTGAAAAACGCAATGGAACGTGTAGATAGGTTTCCTCCCCCTCCCCTTACCCTATCCCCTTGCAGAGGGTTTGCCAGCTGTGCCCACGCGTTCCGCATAACAATTGTCAACAAATTTATGAGCACGACGTCAATTCAACTACTAAAAACATTGCCTCTGTGCTCCGGGTTGGAAACTGGGTACTGGGAACTGGCCGGACTTGCGCCTGAGCACTAATATGAAATTGAAATTCAAAAGCGCTCATTGCGCACTGTTGTTGTTGTTGATTTTTAATTTAAAATTAAATTGGTTTGCAAATGAACGATCGATGAAGCGTCCGATATATGTGTGTATGCATTTTAGGATTGCTTTGCTTGTTTTGTGCGCACGAAAGCCAAGTCTAAATCTATAAGCAAACAACGCCCCAAAAACGGTCAAATAGAGAGCAGAAATTCCACAGGCGGGCGCACTCAGGCCGAAAAACCATTTCCAATCATCTAAATTTAGACGAAATGAAACACATTTCAAATTTTTCATGAAAAAAGAAACAAAATAAATAAATGTCGAGCGTTGAAAATTTTGCTGCGTGTATGTATCCAAGAGTAATGCCAAGTATATATACATATAAACATAGATATCTACATATATATGGCCCCCCAATACATATACATGCATAAAAGTTTCTTATATATAGCCGGGTGACTACATAAACATTTGCGCGATATATTCCGTAGCGGGTGTAGTCCGAAGCGTAATTTGATTTTTTAAATGCACAACGCAAGATACACACACAACAGTTCGTGTATCTAGAAGATCGCGCTGCTGCGTTGCGTGCCACAGCACAGATACAACGAAACAGAGGAACAAACGAAACTTTGATATTAGAATTGTTGTTTTTTGTTGTTGTTGCTGTGTTTATTTCGGCCAATGCGTGGGCATAAATACACCTTTAAATAATAATTTGATTAGAGGTGGTGCGTTGTTGCCGTCTGCTTTGATGTAGACATCAGATGCAGAAACAGATACAAATACACATACAAATAAAGATGAAGAAACTTTTACAGGTGCAGGTACATCAGATATAGCTGAACATGAAGATACATTTACAGATGCAGGTATCAAGAGATACAAATCTAGCCGTTGAACGTCAGACGTCATACGGAAGATCATCTCGGGTTATATATTTGTATTTCAACTATATGTATCTCGCAGATATAAAGTACGTGAAGTTATGCTTGGACTGCGTCGCCGTAATCCGAGCACACAGCGTCTTCTTGACGTAGTCGTCGTTGCCGACGTCTTTCCACAGTCTAGGCACACTTCAACTGTGCAAATTGCTCAGCATGCATCAAGATACAAAAAAAAAAAAAAAAAAACATCGCTAGAAACGTGCTCGGACGGCATGTGTCATATGTATCTAACAGATACAATAAACGCTGTTGCTGCTGCTGTTGATAATACGCACAATATCTTCTTCTGAATTTTTGCTGCTTAATTTCATTATTTCGTCTTTCTTTCTTTCTTTTTTTTTTAGACATGAGTCACTAGCCCCAACAACAAAAATCAAAAAGAAAAAAAAGAAGAAACTAAATTTATGTCAGCAGTGCCAAAAGCGACGGGCGAATAGAGACAATAAAAACAAGCGGCAAATAAATAAATACGAAATTCTAAATGAGAAAGAGGCAAACGTACAGAAAATAACAAAAGCCGTGAAAAATACTCATACGCTATTAGTATTGGTATGCTTTGCATGTTGGCATGTATTTTTTATTTGTATTTGTGGTGTGTTGGAGGCACGAGTACGTTGTACACATTTATGCAATACAAATGAACGTCCAACAGGTTGCAACAGCGATGAGCTCAAAGTATATTCCCATCTGTAGCGATGTGCTAGGGAATCGTGCTCTGTAGCACGAAAAAACATTTTACGATAAACCAAAATCAACTGGTTCAAAATGGCATTTAATGGCATGACAAATCAAATAAATAATAAATAGATTTTGTTCATTGGAATGAATTCTATTTTATTTTTTATCTCAAGTTTGCCAAATCCTATTTTTTTAATTGGCTCACAGAGTCAACCCAAAAAGCTAATTGTAAATGTTAATAATATGCCGAACATAAATATGCATATATATGCAATGCATTTTGTGTGCTACAAAGCCACATATAAAAAAGGCCATAAAATATTAAGAACGTGGGGCTCTTCAACACTGGGAAGTTGGCCAGCAGACCGCATGTAAAAAGCCGACACTCTACCGCCATAACAAAAAAGCAATTGAAAAGAGAAAGTTGCAAATGCGACAAAAACAAAAACCAAAAAACTTCTAGCAAGTTGAGCGCAGTCGAAAGCCGTCAACAACTCAACCCACAAACCCTGCTGCTGCTGCTGCGACTCAGAGTTACAGTTAGATTTAGAGTTCGAGTGTAAAAAAGAGAGCTAAGCTGATCTTTGCATTTACACTGAACATGTGTATCTAGTATATGTTTCAACCTCCTCCGCCGTCTCCTCAACGCCCACATCTACTGATAACGTTGCGGGTGGGTGTGTGTGTTGCGTGTGTGGTGGCAAAAGGCGGTTAGAAAAAAAAAACAACACATTCACACAGATTTTTCTTGTAGCTGGTCGAACGAGTTTTACAAATTGTCAACGCTTTTGCTTTGCTTTTGGCAAATACGATTTGTAGACAAAAAACTAGTTTGCAGTTAGCTACGTTAATGTACGTTGCTCTGAGTTGTATCTAAGTATCTACCGAGCTGTGCAACATAATTTTGTCATTACCCGAGCAGCAGCAGGGCGTCACATACGACACAGACACCGATACAGATTCATGCATATATGCATATGGCCAACAGATGTTAAGTAAACAACAACAACGTGAATCAAAGCGAGCGCGTCTGACTTCGAGCTGTGTGCTACGAGCTATGAACTGTTTGCTGCGTCCAGGTAGTCGTAGTCAGCTCTCTTTGCTGATCCTGCACCACGCCCCCCGCTCTGTTGACTGCTGCGTGCTGATTTTTCGGCTCTTTTTCAAATTTTGTGTGAAGTGTTTGCCTTTTTCTAAGGCGGCATACGGGCGTGGGCAGGCGGAAAGGAGGAACTAGGGCAATGCGGGGCGGGACGGTGCTGGCAGGCAGGCAGACAGGCAATATGACTGAATGAATGCGTCTCATTTAAATTCTGTTTTTTACTGTGAACGGATTTTGGAAGAGCGCTGCGACAATAGACTGGATTCTAAACTGTGCAATAATAATTATTTGTAAGCCAAATTATAAATGATCATATAGAAGATCTTCTGTGTCCTGCTTAATCAGATTATGAATATTAAAAAATTATGTTAAGCTATATTTAATATTTAATGCATTCATCAAATAGTATGACAAAAAATTTACCAATGTTCTTAACAAAAATCGTTAAACTGCAATTGATCCAGTGAACAATAAAACATAAGAAACCCGAAAAAACACATGCGTGGGGGTCCCGTTGTTAGCAGTAGAAGACAAAGCGGAGCGTGAATTGTAAAGTAACATAACAACAACAATATAGCAGCAACAGGCAAAACACAAGTTTAAGCGCTCCTCCTCAATGACAGAAAGAGAGGCAGAGAAGACGAAGTGGCACACAAAAAGGAAGTAACTAAAAATAACAAACAACTGACGTCGACAGCGACGCTGGCAGTGCTGACTTTGGGCTCTCTCGCTCTCTCTCTGTGCAAGGTGGAATGAACTCAAGATCAAGTAGAGAAGCGACTTTAAATATAGAAAGAAAAACAACATCAGCAAAGAGAGCAACAAAGTAACGATTATTGGGGGAGCGAAAGAGAGAGAGATGCACGCACCTCCTACACACAACACAAGAGGGTCGTAATTTGAGAAAAAATACATATTTTTTTCTTTTTATATTTGTAATTATGACTTACCTTCGTCCAGCAGGCGTTCGACATGCGTAAAAACATTTGGGAAGGCGGCCAACTGCTTGCGATCCTTTAGCAATTGTGCCAAATAGTCGGCGATGCTTTGTGTGCTCTGCTGTTGTTGTTGGGGCGTCATGTGCTGTGGCTGTGGCACCACTTGCGGGGGCTGTTGTTGTTGCTGCTGTTGCTGTTGTTGTTGCTGTTGTTGCTGCTGCTGCTGCTGAACAGCAGCGACTGCGGCAGCCGCAACGGCAGCGGCCGCTTGTTGTTGCAACTGCTGTTGCACAACGGTCTTATTCTCACATATACTCATGTTGTTGTGTGTATGTATGTATGTGTTTTTTTAATTTTACTTTTTTTTTGTTTTTTTTTAAGCTTTAACAATTGTTTACTTTGTTTCACAATGTTTTTGTTGTTGTTGAGATTCTTTTTTACGTTGCGTATTTAACTTTTTCGACTGTTTATCTGTTCTGTTTTTTTTTATTTTACGTATTGCACAATTGCTACACACAAAAGGCTATAGTTGTTGTTGTTGTTTTTGTATAGTTTATAGTTACTGCAAAATGAAAGCAGAATATTGTTTTCGTTACGAGCGGAATTCTCTATAAAAATCGTAGGCGAGAGCGCAATACAGAAAAACCGATTGAAAACAACTCCACCCAAAAAAAAATAATTTAGAGAAGAAACGAAACGAAAAACACAACAACAACAAAAGCAAAACCAATGAGAGAGTAAATTGAAAATGAAGACTGAAAAAATTCCTCAGCGCAGCAAACGGCTGCTTCTGATCGGGGCAAGAGGAAGAGCAGACAGACGGCGCAGTCGCTGTCAACGTTTTGCCATATATACACACGCACACAGCGACAGTTTATTTGTACTTGTGTGTGAGTGTGTCTGTGTGTGTGTGTGTGGCTGGGAGCGTAATCGTGAGCAACGGAGATGAATGAAAGCAGAATGTCAAAATAGCTGCTCATTCGATCGTTCGTTCATTTGCTCTCTCTCTCTTTCTGGTTCCCTCTGTGTGGCTGCTGCTGCTGCAGCCCCAAGAAGTACAACAAAAAAGAAAGAAATTAATTTTAATATGCAAATTAACATATTTCTTATTTGCAGCGAAATTAATGCGAATCGCTTGAGCATTACGTTAAATATATTTTGGAATTCAACTTGCTCAGTGCCACAACTAAATAGCTGCAGCAGCCATTGCAAAACGTTGAAAAATTCGCATGAAATAAATATGCACAATTTACTGTTGTCGCTGATTATATTTTATTTGTTGTTGTTGCTATACTTTTTGAGCGGGGTTTATTGCTTTCAGTTAGGTTTTCACATTGAGAGCGTTTTAAAATTTTGCATACATTTGCATTTGTTGCACACTGCATTTGATAACTATTTGGGAATTCCTTTTTTTTTGTTTTGTTTAAAATTTGTATTCGAGTCGGGTAAAAGGAAAACGCACGGATCTCGCCTCTACTTGAACGATTCTTTCTACTTCTAAAACTGAACCGCACGCAAAGACAGAGAAAAAGAAACTGATCGCAAAGCGAACTGACGAAAGAAAAAGAAAAGAAGAGAGCCAGCATGCCATTTTGAGTATAACAGTGCATTAACAGCGTTAAAGATCAGTTAACAGCGTTGCCACACTTAAGCTATGGCGCAGCTGTTTGGCATATCATAGATTTTTAGCTTAAAAGTTGAGTTTTTCCGTGAATAGTTCAGTATACATAACGATATTTGTTGAATATAACAAGTTTTGGTTTAGTTTGGCACTTTTAATGCGTAGAAAATGTGTGATTAATACTTACACAAAATATTTGAGGCTATGTGGCAGCACTAAGTCTGTCAATCATGCGCTGCCCACAGAAGCCATCTCCCTTGCACTCGTTTGTCTAAGCATATTTGGCGCGTTGGCGTCAATTTAAATTATGGAACTCAGCGCGGAGGCATTTATTACGTACGGAAATTGTTAGCAGGCAACCAATGCGAATGCGAATTCGAATACGATTAGAACCAAATATATGTACTGTGTGTTGTTGTGTTAGATATGTGGGCATTTGGCCAAAAGCCTATGCAAATTGCGCCCGTACTAACCGGGCACTGCTCACCGAGATGGAAATGTGCGGCCAAAAGCCACCAAATGTTGGTGTTAAACTCGCCTTCAAATACCTGGCACTCAAAAATGTATGTGGGAAAATTGGCATTCGCATTCGTATTCGTATTCACATTGCGCACCATATAAGCTGCCCTGGACAGCAACAACTTTTACTTTCCATTGCAAATGCGTTTCATTTGTACTACACTCAGGAAAACTTATATGTCCTTGAATGAGGAAAAATTACCTTAAATCAAAGTCGGTGTCAACAACAGAAACAATTATTTTAAATTTTGTGATATACATTTTTAATGTTCAGTAGATTTCTTAGATTTCAATTCACCACATTTTGTAACATTTTCTCAAAAGTAGAAATATAAGTTTTTCTTAGAGCTTTAAGTTCAAATTTTTTTAAACTCCTAAGTAATATATAATGCCCTAAGATAAACACTTTGTTTTACAACATAACAAAAGGTATATGTTTATTTTTGAAAATAAAGTCAACATTAATTTTTGCAAATTTAAAACAAACGCGTTTTTTTTTTTGCCAAGTGTAGTTTTCTGCTTTGGGCTTCCTTGTATGCCACAAAACGGCATCGCCAGCAAAGACCGCTATACACTTACAGCACCCGCATGCACCTAAAAAAAAAAGTCGTGAAAGTTTTCAATCACAGCCACAGTGGAAAGCAGGCGCCCACCGACCTGACCAGCAACTTCACTCTACACCTTGGGTGTGTATGAGTGTGTGTGTGTGTGTGTGTGTGAGTGGGCCGAAGCCGGCATAACTATAAAGTCACATTATGTACATTTTATTACCATTGGAAATATATGCGGAATATGTGTCACAGATTTAGACATTGTATTATGATTATGGCTTTTCGATTTACAGCCAGTGTAAAGCCTATTTCGATGTTGACACCTACACAAGAGCTACACACAATAAACACTGGATAAAGAGACACATCATCATTCAGCCGTGGGCCGCTAATCTTTAGGGCACAATTTTGTGTATTTGGTCCATTTGGGTAGCACTTTCAGTTTTCAAATTATGGAAACGCTTCACAGCCGATTGCAAAACAAAATTAAAAAGTTAGCACTTTAAACACCAACCATCCACCACTCACTATTTGGTGGTGTAGCTGAAATTTAATGCAATGAATTGAAGGACCGAAATTGGACCAACGACTTATTATTCATTTGTCTAGGCATAATATTGACAAAAAAAAGTAAAAACTCATATTAAATCGAGGTAACCCTTGGAAATCATAGACGGACTACTTAGTTATTTATTTCGACAAATTGGGTAGCCAAAGAGCAAGACCTAGACGAAAGGTGCATTGATAATAAATAAATACCCAGCAACAGAGAGATTGTCAATTTTGTCCCAATACAAGTGATTCAAAATACATACAAATACAATAATAGAAAGGTATTCTTTACAATTTAAAAAAGAAAAAATAGAGAATAAAACCAAATTGAAAAGGGTAAAATGTTTACTTTTCTGGTGACCAATACAAAAATAGATTTAAGCCAATGAAAATGTTTAAGGATACTAAAATGTTTAGGCTTATATTAAAAAATAATATTAATCTCCTGTGTTTATTCAATTCAATATTTTTACGAATCTTAACAAGCACTATTCTTTCTCAATTTTAATCATTTTTCACTTGGTTTCTCGTTTTTGCAACTGCTATCAGTTGTCCATAGAATCATTATTTTACGCTCGATTTTAGTCCGGCAAAATCCAAATCCAATTTTGTATACAAATTTCCAGAGAGGGGCATCATTGATGGCATCAATTTTGGGTTTGACGATAACCGACAAATTATGCACTTGCTGTGCAATTGACACACAAATTGTGCACTTCGTGTGTTTGGCCCCTTTGTATAATTAGCGGCGACATGTTGGTTAAAAGCCAACTTGTTAGCCATTAAACCGACGACTTGCAGTGGCTTTCATTACGCATGCAACTGTTGCGTAGGCGAAGACAAATGCTATGAGCCAAATAAAACCAGATTCACACACGCCCACACACACACACACACACATCTCTCCTCAGCTCTGGACAGGTAGTCGTATTTCTACATGAATGAATATTCAATACTCATATGCATACTCATACCCATACACATGCTTAAATATTGCTGGTTGAATAACACTCGTAGAATAGTCGGTATATTTTTAGTTATTTGAAGCGTTATTTTTGCTTGTTGACGAAATTGTTTACTAACTCAAAATGACGTTTCCTGAGCCAATTACTTATCTTCTCTATAATTTTAGAATTATTCATTTGTATACTCAGTCGCTAGAATTTTATTGATATAATGATTATTTAAAAGAATGCATCTATTACTCAGCATTTATTTTTGTTTTTATATGCAGTGGGCTTCGTGAAAGGGAAAAACAATTTCAACAAAATTAAATTGCAATGACGATATAAGAAATATAAAGAAATCTTATAACTTGATCAAAAATCATTTAGCAATTAATGAGTGAAAATACTTTATTATAACATATTGCAAAGTATATATGAATTATATTATCAGAACAAAACATGACTGCTTGAAGGTCTTAATATTAAAATCCTCAAGGTGGTAGTCGTCTTTCCATTTCACCAAACTAAAACTTTAATAGTCAAGGCGAGTAAAATATGAATGAATAACCATCAGCATTTGTTAATTATCTATATATATTCATATATATACATATTATATGTATTTATACTTTATACCTTGCACAATAAAAATTTAAAAAATGTAATTTTGGAAACTGAAATTCGCAAATTCCCACAACTTCTTCTAAATCGTATAAATCTGTTTTACAGGCTTTCCACCAAAATTTTGCGGAAATATATATTGAAGAGAGTCACAAACTTTTCCTCCGCTTCAATTTCCATTCAAGAAAAATGTGTATTTTCACATGCACGAACTCATTATACACATGACGGCAGTCATGCATTTATGAATAGCGACGCATGAATGAAAATGAATCTGGTTTAATATTAGCAACGACTTTGATTTCATTCACAAGCATTGGATTCGCTGGATTGATTGGATACGTCGTAACAAGTGCTGCAACTAGTAATGCCAGTGGGCGTGTTTGAGTATTTTTCGGCACTTTGCTCGCCTACCCACATATTATAAGCCACTATTAATTTGTTGCTATCCAGCCCAGCATGGTTGGCTGGTTTGATTAGGCTGCGCATTAATTTCTTGATGCCTGCCTTTGGCTGTTGCGTTGGCCCAGCCAAAAGAAAAAACTAACTGCGCGTTGTGGGTGTCGTGGCTTAAACGAGTTTTATTAGAAAATTGTTTACAGGCCGTTTCAATGTTGTTTCAATTTACTGCAAACATTATTAGTGGGCGCCAATAATAAGTCACTGTGATCATTACTCAATTGAGTTCAATTTTTGGGCAGCGCACACTTCTCAAACTGTAGCCACAGTTTTGCTGGCATTGCCAAATCACATGACCGCCAACAAACTGGAACAATAAAATGAATAACAAAAAAAATAAATGTATATTTGGCCAAAAAACAAAAAAACACACATTTTCCATATTGGGCAAGCCTCGCTAAATACTCATTAAAAAAAAAGAAAATAAGTCGGCGATAAATATTTGAAGCAAACAACAGACGAATAAGGCAGGCCGACATCCGTGTGGGCGGATGGAACCTCTTATGGGATGGGGATGACGAGTCGAATCCAAAGAGTTGAACTAAATTTGTGAAATGAAGAGACTTATGTACACATTTGCTACATGTAAACACATATATAGTGGTTTATATATAGAAGAATACATGGCTTAAAGTAAAAGAATTAACGCATAAATTTCTTGGCCTGATCGCGATTGATCTGCTTGAACACGCGCTGCTTGGAGCTGTTGTCGTTCATTTGCTTGTAGTAACCGAAACCGCCGCCGCCCACACGCTTCTCGGGGCGCTCTCGCTTGGCAGCACCAACCTTGAGGTCAACAACGGGCGGCACCAGAAACCCAAAACTCTTGGACACCGCCTGCAGATCGAGCGTGTTCACATTGAAGATCTGTTTCAACTGATGCGAATCGTAGGCGCGCACATACGACTTAAACGCCTCCTTGGCCGACTGATTGAGGAAATAGTTTTTCGCTATCAATTTCTCCAGCTGCTCGGGAGAGAAAGATAAATGTTAAATCTCGGTTTATATATATATTCTCTCAATGCACACACCTGCAGCTGTATATCGGCAATCTTTTGCCACGAGAACTCGAATTCGTTGAGCGGCACTTTGGCTGCTTTTAGGTAGCGCAAGAAACCCAACTCCTCTGGACGCAGCATGAGTAGCGCATGACCCGAAGTGCCCGAGCCGCGGGCCGTACGACCAACACGATGTATATACTCGCGTGGATCATCTGGCGGATCGTACTGCACAATCCAATCCACTTGGGGTATATCCAAGCCACGAGCCGCGACATCTGTGCAGAGTAGAATGCCAGACTCGGCATTGCAAAATTGGAAGAATGTTGTTGTGCGTTTCGTTTGCTTCTGTTTGCCATGGATGGAAGTCACGGGCAGATCGATGTAGTTGAAGAGCTCGTGATGATACTTGACCGACATGCACGACGAGAAGAAGACCATCACCTTCTTCTTGCGATTCTTCTTGAGGAACGTGAAGAGGACCAGCAAACGCTTCTCCGATGGACACACAATATAACCCTGCTCCAATCCATCAACGGTCGCCGTCTCCTGACTATCATGCACACCCACATAGATGGGTTCCTTCTTTAGCGCCAGCTTCGACAGAGCATCGATGCGGTCCGTTTGTGTGGCCGAGAATAACATGGTCTGGCGGCGTTCTAAACGAATAAAGGTGATAATATATTACCATGCTGTATCCAAAAGAAATCGTAGAGAAGTCTTACTTGGCAACAGATTAATGATTTGCTTGAGCTCCTCCTCGAAACCGATTTCCAGTATGCGATCCACTTCGTCAATAATCAGACACTGCAAGTTCTTGTAGAGGAAATCTGGCGAGTTCTGTAGATGATCCAAGAGACGTCCTGGCGTCGCCACCAGAATGTTGATGCCCCTGCCCAGTTTCTCGCTCTCCACCTGACGATTGGAGCCGCCCATAACCAAGCCGTAGGTGTGATGATGATGCGCCATCAGCTCCTTGAGCACACCAAACGTTTGCATCGACAACTCCCGCGTGGGCGAGATGATAATGACGCCGGTGCCGTTGCGTGGCATAAAATGCAGCTTATTGATTAGCTCCACGGCAGGAATGAGGAAGGCAAGCGTTTTGCCTGAACCCGTTTGAGCAGCGCCCACCAGATCCCGACCCTTTAGCAAGGGCGTCAACGATTTCGACTGAATTTCGGTCATCTCGCTGAAGCCCATTTCGGCGATTGCACGCAAGGTTGCCTCCGAAACGGCGCCCTTTAATGAGGCAAAGCTGCGATCATCCGAATCCCGTTGATCCAATGCCGACAACGAAGATTCCAGTGAAAATGCTGTTTCAACGTCATTTGCCGAATTTCCATTTGTTGCTGCAGCCTTTTTCGCTGCTTTTGTCTTTTGCAGTTTGGATTTCTTGGCGGGCGCTGGTTCATCATCCTCGACATCTTCCTCCGATTCGGGTGAATCTGCAGCTGCAAAATGTTTTAAATATATTAAAAAGGAATTCTACAAATTAAACAAATGAAAGCAACACTTTGGGATTCAGTTATTTGTTTAGATTGATCTCATTTCTGCACGAAGCAACATTAACGCGTTGCACGAGTGAACATCAAATTCGCCTTTAAATCATCATTCAGCAAGTGAAGTTTACTGGGTTATGCTCGACTAGTTTATGCCCTGTATAAAAGTGAGCACACGCATCTTATCACAATTGTGCACAAACCTTCACTATCGATCTCTTCATCGTCCTCTTGATCATCCTCCTCAGCTTCGCTGTCCATCTCTTCTTCGTTTAAGTCTTCTTCATCTTCATCGGAATCTGAATCCGAATTTGCCACCTGAATTTGTGGCTTCTTTTTCTTTTGCTTTTGCTGTTGCTTTGTTTTCAGTTGCGGCTGTTGCTGGAAATCATCATCCAGATCATCTGCTAATCATATTATATATTTAGTTTTTTAGAAGTTATTATTAATTCATGAACATACCTTCTTCATCCAGAACAGGTCGCTTTGCTGGCTGCTTTTTCGGATTCATCCCTTTGCTTTGGCCTGCTTTTCTTGGTGGCTCCGGCTGAGGGGCTGTATATTTGCCTTTGCCCTTCTTCTGCGAGAGTTCCTTCTTCATCTTTTCGCGCTTCACTATTTTCTTCATCAGCAATTTCTCGCGTATTGACATTTTAAGCTATTGCACTCCTTAAACAGATATAAAACAAAAATGTACAAAAATGTATAGTAAAAGAAGCTCGCACGTGTTGAAGTCCACGATATTGCCATTCACATCGAAAAGGCGACAAATGCAAAACAGCTGTGCGTGCAAATATTCACATATTCAGCTGTGAGTGCAAATATCGATAACGTTCACACATTCGATAACTGTACAAAGACATAATTGACGACAGTTGGCATGCCCATTGATTTGCCAGTCACAACGAACTGGTAATTTCGCATCAAACGCCAACTTGATGGAAATTTCTATAGACGTTCTCATTTTCATTTTTTACACATTTTTGATTCTTTATTTGCAACACTTTGTCAACAGATACGCGGAGTTTGTGCGCATGTTCGAGTAAGCATGCTGGGACTGCAATCCTACGCCAGCTCCTCCGACTCCGACGCCTCGGACAACGAGCAAAACCCAAATGCGGAGCAAACTTTGCATCTGCAGCCGCTGGACAAAACCCATTCGTTGTCCAAATCCCTGGCGATTGTTGCGGCGCCCGATGTAGTGCCGATGGGCGCCGCAGCCGTTGAGCGATCACTCGACCCAACGCTCAAGGAAGTCGCCTACAATCCACGCTACGAAGAGATGTACGCACCCGTCCTAGGACCGGAGCATCCCAATCTGACGATGCAGCAGCGGGCGCCGAGAAACACCCTCGCCGGCTATGTGGAGAAGGCGCACATCAATGCCTTCGAGTTTGAGAATCAACGTCGCACATTTCACACCTACGGATATGCCCTGGATCCCACTGTGGATGCTACAGCCGATGGGCAATCTTATGTGGGTGATCTCCAGTCCGCCTACGATGACAATGGGAAAACGGTTTTCGAGGCGCCCAAGCCGAAGAAATTGCGCAAGCAGGATAAAAACGATAATCCCGAGGATGTGGAGGGCTTCCTCGGACCATGGGGCAGATTCGAAAACGAGATAACCGTCGCCAAGCCAAATGAACAGGAACGCGCCGAGCTGGATGAGCTGCTCTCCAAGCGACACAAGCGCGGACGCATTCCCGAGGATAAGCCACTGGAGGAAAAATCCACTTTGCACAGTAAGCATAAAAAACTATTAAATTGTTAGCAGATAAATTAAGAATGAACTTTTAAATTGCAGTCAAGGATGCCTACGATTATCAGGGCCGATCTTATTTGCATGCTCCGCACGATCTGGGCGTGAATTTGCGCTCGAATGCGCCGCCACCAAAGTGTTTTCTGCCCAAGGCGCACATACACACGTGGACGGGTCACAACAAGGGCATCTCCTCGATACGCTGGTTTCCTAAGACGGCACATCTGCTGCTCTCCGGCTCGATGGATTGCCGTGTTAAGCTGTGGGAGGTTTATGGCGATCGGCGCTGTGTGCGCACCTTCTCTGGCCATCGGCAGGCCATCAAGGATATTGCGTGGAACAATAAGGGAACACATTTTCTCTCCGCCTCCTATGATCGCTACATAAAACTGTGGGATGCGGAGACGGGCGATGTTGTCTCTCGGTTCACCACTCGCAAAATGCCCTTCTGCGTCAAGTTCCATCCGGATAACAGCAAGCAGCATCTCTTTGTCGCCGGCACCTCCGACAAGAAGATCATTTGTGTAAGTTGTGCATTTGAATTTGTGGACTTTTACTAAAGCTTTATCTGATCCACAGTGGGACACTCGCAGTGGAGATATTGTACAGGAATATGATCGTCATTTGGGTTCAGTTAGCACCATCACTTTTGTGGATGACAATCGGAGATTTGTGACGACTTCGGATGACAAATCGATGCGCATCTGGGAGTGGGACATACCCGTCGATATGAAGTACATTGCGGATCCAACGATGCATTCCATGCCGGCCGTTACTCTGGCACCCAATGGCAAGTGGATGGCCTGCCAGTCGCTGGACAACAAAATCGTCATATTCTCCGCCCTCAATCGTTTCAAGATGAACCGCAAGAAGACCTTCACCGGGCACATGGTCTCCGGCTATGCCTGCCAGCTGGATTTCTCGCCGGACATGAGTTACCTGGTGTCGGGCGATGGCGATGGCAAGTGCTACATTTGGGACTGGAAGACGACGAAAATGTACAAGAAGTGGCAGGCGCACGAGGGCGTTTGCATCAGTGCCCTATGGCATCCACATGAGGCCAGTAAACTGGTCACCGCCGGCTGGGATGGCCAGATTAAATATTGGGATTGAGAATGCCTACCAAAATAGAGATATATTGATATATTAGGTTTTTAAGCAGTACATGTACGATGTAGTGTAATCAATTGACGAGCAACAACAACAAGAACGTTTAATCCTTTACTCCTTTCTACAACATATATCCACACAATCTGTCTTTGTTTACATTCGGGTTGCTGTTTGTTGGTTGCTGATAAGAATGGAGCATGCGCAGTGGCCGCCAAACTGTACAATATGGGTCCACCACCAAATTGGGCGCAAAACATATGCGATTGCCAGCTAAAATCAATACTTTTTCACAAGACCAGCCAAACAACGCAGTAACTGTGTATGTTCATTAAAAACTCAAAAACAATTGCACAAAACTTAATTTAAGCCGATGCAAATAGATGCAAATTGCAGCCTACAGTTTAGATGCCATTGGAATAATGCGTAAAGCGCAATTTTAAGCAAAAGATTATTTAACCAACAACAAGAAGAGCAGCTAGCAGAGACGAACACTTTCAATTTAGAAAGAGAGCACCATGTCCAAGCCACCGACGGACACCTCGGGCTTGGGCTATGCTTACCATCTGCCATCCGGGGGCCTTTTGTTGCGCCTCAAGAATTCGTTATCGCAGTTTAGCGACTTATTCAGCGAGTTCAACAAATACATTTCACCTGCCTTCTTTCACGACCGCTGCGAGCGATCCGTCCACATGCGCATGTATTCCATGCACAAGCGCGAATTCGTGATGGTCTTCCTCGGCTTCTTTACCTGCTTCGGTTTGGGCATTATTATCGGTCTAACTGGGCCGCCAATAACCACAACAGATGCTCTGACCGCCCAACAGATTCTGGCCAATACAACGCTGGCAATGAGTAAAACGGTGCTGGCCACCGGTCCCTTTGCCATGAAATCCCCCCTGATGACGACTTATTCGCAGCAGATGTGGCTAATTGCCAAGCTGGTCACCGACAACAATGATGGTTAGTACGAATCGCTTCTCCATTTAAAGACCATTGCTCAGTGTTCTTTCCCGTCCAGATGAGCGCTATGACAAGAGTTTCCAAATTAGCGTCACCATCGATGGCATCAACGAGCAGCACAAACCGCTGACTGTGCTGGGAGCCAGCACGGCTCACAATCGGACGAGGCACTTGCTCTGCGTGCGCAACGATTGCGAGGAGTTTACTGTGATGCATTTGGGCTTCCTGGACTATGCCCACTACATCATCACGGTGCGTTTCATGGGCCTCGAATCGTTCCATCAGAAGTACAATATCAGGGCCATAACCTTTTATGTGAGTAACTTTTTGTAACTTTATTAAATTATTATTAAACTTTGAAGCTAGTTGGGATTTTACATAAAACAATTTAATTTAATATTATTCAAGTATTTTTTTATTTTTTATCTTAATTCAAACTTTAAGGTAAAACGTTTTAATGTGCAATTTACTTAAACTAACACTTTCTTTTAGTTCAAGACATATAGTCCGGAATTTACACAGATTGAGATCTGGTTTCGGTTCATCTTTCTGCTCTTCACCTTTATCGTTATAGTAAGTTTAAGTTTTTTAAATTAACATTCACATTAACATTGCTCCTTGGTGCTTTATAGTGCTGGTATGCACACACTCTGCGCAAGTATCCTGTCTACGACTGGTCCATTGAGCAGAGATGGATATCCTTGCTGCTGCCCCTTCTGCTGCTCTACGATAGTGAGTATCATTTAAATCTACTATATGTGAATGAATTACTCTGATATATGAGCATTCTGCAGATCCGTTCTTTCCGTTGATCTTCCTGATGAACTCGTGGCTGCCTGGCATGCTGGATGCGGTGCTGCAGGCGACATTCCTTTGCGCCCTGCTCATGTTCTGGCTGTGCATCTATCACGGCTTACGACAGAATGAGCGACGCTTCGTTAGCTTCTATCTGGTCAAGATCATTGTCGTCCTGCCCATTTGGCTGTGCGCCATTGTGCTCGCCACCTGGGAGAAGTGCAACGAGCTGCGTGATCCCACATACAGTCACTTTGTGGACACTAAGAACTACAATGTGAGTGCAGTTGAAATGCGTACTTTGCATGCTCATCCTAATCATATCATCAATCCTTTGCAGGGCCTCAAGATGTTCTTCTACATTGCCTGCTGCATGTATGTGATTTATCTGGGCCTGCTGCTGCTACGTGCCTACACAGAACTCCGTTCCATGCCCTACTTTGGTAAGCTTTTGCAGATTTCTAATACATTTCTGTACAGCATTATCTGTATAATAATATAAAAACTGTTTTTAAATATTTATCATAATTGAAAGCTTTGTTTTTCTCTGGCTCCCATCGTGATTCGAAATATATTGGAGTATAAACATATTTAAATTATAAATAGAGATCACCAAGCATTGATCGCCATGAGAAACAATTTGCTGACCTTCCCTTTAAATACAAATATTTAATAACCCACTGATTCTGATCTATATAAATCATAAATTATAGAAAGTAGAGTTGTATATTTGATCTTGATTGAAATATGGGTTTCGAGAACAAAACATGTCAAAATTCTATTAATTATTATTAAAGTAAATCAGATATTAATATTCAGGCATAACCATGACCAATACACCATTGTTGTTGAAAATTGGTTTACTTTTGTTTAAGTTATGGCAGTTGAAAGTTTTGGACCATTCGAAAAAGCAACTTTTTGGAATAGAAATCAAGGGGCTTTATTTATGTAGAAATCCATTCCATCCATTCCATCCCCTTTTATGTTACTCCTCCAGACTATAAACCCACATTTTTTACTCTTTCAGACATACGGTTAAAGTTTCTCACGCTGCTGATGCTCTTTGTGTTGTCCATTTCGATAACGGTGACAACTTCTCGCTTTGGCTTTGGCATACTGGAGGATAACTTTGTGGCCACACTGAACACCACTTATCGGAGTTCGGCCCAGTTTATGTGTTTCTACGGGCTATTAAATTTCTATCTGTACACCATGGCGTATGTGTATTCGCCCGATGGTCGCTTTGCCCAGGCTGATTTGGCTGTAACCAAGGATAATCCGGCCATTTCAATGATTGACGATTCCGATGAGGATGTTGTCTACGGCTCCGACGAGGAGTCGCGACGTCCCCTCACCTCTGTGGGTGGCGCTGGCAAAAATGACTACGACAGCGATTAACAACAATTGTTTGAACGTATCGTAATTTAAGCGTTAATGTTCCACAGGTGGCGAAACCCAAACAACAACGCTACATTACTGAACAAATTACTTATTCTACAAGTATAGCATTGAACCCAGCGTTTTCAATTTCCCCTTACCTACATATATTTGAAGTAAACTTAATTGGTAAACTATCTGTTTGTGTTTTGTAAAATATAATTATGTCTACACTTGACTCTTCATAATTGCAGAATGGAACACATTCTCCACTTAAAATACTTTTCGAATATGAAGTAGATTCAGGAAAAGCCAAGATCAAAAAGTTAACTTTTAACAAAAGTTCATTTTCCACAATTTAATTAATTTCCAAACTAAGATGACAAGATGATCGTTATTTTTCTAGATTGTTTATTACACAATTAACACATTTTGCCAGTTGAATTATAATGCGAACAAATGGCCCGTCTAGAAGACCTCGTTAATGCCCATCTTGTTTTTGGTCAACAGACCGCTGTCACCCACATCTGCGTTGTAGCCGGGACGAAACTTCATGCCGGGCGCCTTTAAAATACGAATACGATTTATAAGATTGGGTATTGGATTAAGTGTTAACAGTGGACTCACATTGAACCAGACGTCACGCCAGACTTTGCTGTCGTCGGCGCTGCGCAGCAGCTCGGGCACATCGTAACGTGGCACATTGAAGTAATTCATTAGATCGGGCTTCTCGTGGCAGTACTTAATGCGCGCCTCGCACCACTCGGTCTCGAGCGGGAAGCGCCAGTCGAGCTGTTTCTTGTTGTGAGGATCTGATTCGTGCTGCTGGAAATCGATGCGTTCGATATCCTCAACGACGACCTCAGTTTCGCCACCGGCAGTCCAGTCGTAGATGAGCAACTCTGCATGTCCGACGATATCTTTGAGATACTGCTGCTTGTACAGCGACTCCAAATCCCGCAAATATGCCTCGCTGAACACTTTCGATTTGACTTCGTGTTCCAAGTTGCGCGTCTTGATTTGCCGCTGGACGGCCTCGATGGGCTGGTCCAGGTAGATGACCAAATGCGGTTTCAGCAGCTCACCAATGGTGTTCTGGCGCAGTTCGTTGTACACGGAACGAGCACCGCGCGAGATATACCCCTGACGGAACATGGCCTCCATGAAGACAAAATCGGAGTAGGGACTGCGCTCGAGGACAACGCCCTGCCCGGTGGACAGAATGTGCTGGAGAGCATCGACATACTGCGAGTAGCGCAGCATGTACATGCGTATCTGGAACAGAGCAGCCAGATCATGATTGGGATTCTTGCAGAAATCGCGAACGTCATAGCTGCGGCAGCTGGGCGGCAACTCCGGATCTAATTTGCGCATATCATAGCCATACGGATTGATGTAAATAAGATCCAGGTCAACGGCCGGATAGTACTGCATATCCAGTTCAGCAGCCAGTTCTTGAGCGAACTTCGTTTTGCCCGCCGCAATCGGACCCTCAACGCAAATTACTTTCGAGTTCTCATCGAAGCGCTTGGAGGTCTTGTCAAAGACGGCGCTGAACCAGTTGTACTTCTTCGTCTTGTACGGATATGGAGCTACTTTGGGTACGCGTGGACCTCCACGCATCGTCTTTCCGGAGATGTTGCATTTTTGCATGAAGGCGGCGGGCAAAGCATTCGTCTGCGCCTGCAGCAGAGTGGCGGGCGCAGTGGCGCCGCGGCTGGCTAGCCGCACCAGGCCAACACGAAACACGGCAGTCATGCTGCAATCACACAGAAAACACCACACAATCAATAAACATAAAAATAAATATTAATTATTAATTTGCTCGAGTATTGTCGGGAAATGTTGTTACATCACACGAGCTATGCAAGCGATTCTGCATTTTGCATTTACAATTGTCCAGCAAAGCGACATTAAAAGCCCGACTGCATTTAATTATCTATATTGTATACTAAACATTTACTAAATGTGTTAAATCGTTGAATTTGCCAGTTGATTTACTCACTTTTAAAGCAAAAACCTAATATTTAGCCAATAACAACTTCGGCCTATGCGTTTGGTGTTGGTAAGCGATCAACGTTTGCGGCGTCACCCAACACTAAGAACTGAGTTGACATGCTCTCTGAATAATTATCGTTTAATTTTATAATTTTTGGAAATATTCCCTATAGTAAAAGTGTCCCTTGCATAATTTTTCAATTTTGTACATTATTATTGAATTCGATATAATGTCAATCATTTGGATCTGCAAATTTAGTTTAGTTATTTATGAGATGCTGTGACAGCCCTGTGCTTAACCTCGCTGCACTTGAAGAATTATCTGCTCGCAACTGGAGCTCGCAATGAAATGTAAAAGCATCAATTAAAATATTTTGCTTACTTGTAATTTAAAAACGCATCATTTTGTAACGCAATCGAATCAAAAATACAAGTAAGTTGCACATGGACCACATCCTTCGGTTGCAAACACTCGCAATTTTTGAGCAGTTACGCAACTGAAACAATTTTACGCGTGACACAAATTTTTATTATCCTTGTTTGTTTGTTTGCTTTTGTAGCAATAGTTGAAGAATGGGCAACTCGGCGTATTCCAAAGTCCACATGGAGGCTGCTAAAGCTATGCCAGCTGACCATGCCAAATATATGACAAATGCTGGAGCAGCAGCACCACCACCAGAATGTCCCATGCACCAGAAGCAGGGCGATAATCAGTCGTCCGCATCTGCTGTGCCCCCACATCCAAAGATGCAGGCCTCCGAGTGCCCTGTGAAGCATGACAGCGCCGATGTCAATCCATTGAATATGATGCCGCCGGCTAATCAGAACCCGGCGCCGGATCAACCGTTTCCACTGCCCACAGATCGTCAGACATCGTCCATACCCAAGGTGACCGAGGATGGCAGCGCTCAGTTCTGGCAATATCCCAGTCAACAAATGTTCTGGAACGCCATGTTGCGTAAGGGCTGGCGCTGGAAGAATGAGGACATCTCCCAGAAGGATATGGGCGACATAATCCGCATTCACAATGCCAACAATGAACAGGCCTGGCAGGAGGTCCTCAAATGGGAGGCGCTCCACGCCAAGGAGTGCGGCAATCCACGTCTCAAGAGCTTTGGCGGCAAGGCCAAGGATTTCAGTCCGCGAGCCCGTTTTCGCAGCTGGCTGGGGTAAGTTTTTAGTTATAAAAAATATATATATATATTTAAACAGTAATCGATCGATCCAAAAAGTAAAAACGTGGTACATATTTTGTTTGCTTTCTATATCTATTAAATCGTCTTAAATCGCATATTTTTTAATTTGTAAATTGTTTTTTAATTATTATTGATTATTTTGTTAACGATTATTAATAGATTGAATATTTTATCATGTGCTGAAAGTCGAAATTTACAATTCCCTCTTAATCTTTTAAATGTGAAAAAATATTTCTTTAAGAATGTGGGATCTTTAAGAAATTAAAATTCTTTTTGGTAAATCTTTTTATATTATTTTCCGCCTTTTAATATTTTAAAAAATATAAATTTATATAAAAGTTCTACAATTTAAGTATAAATGTGATTTGAACGTTTATTTTTCAAACGATTGCTGTTTATAATATAATATTATTTATAATATAATATTAATTCTTATTTCATTTTTGCAGCTATGAGCTGCCCTTCGACAGACACGACTGGATTGTGGATCGCTGTGGCAAGGATGTGCGCTATGTGATTGACTACTACGACGGCGGCGTTATTGACAAGGATTACCGATTTGCGTTGCTGGATGTGCGTCCAGCTATGGATTCTGTGGACAATGTTTGGGATCGTATGCGAGTCGCGTATATGCGCTGGAGATTCGAAATAACAGAGAAGCTGGGCGTCAACAGCAAAGTGACTGCTGGCAGCGAATAGCACTTCTATCGGCCATTGTACAAAATCTGTTTTAAGTTATTATCGAAAGCGACAAAACAAAGATATACAGTTTGAGTTGCATTGTTGCCATTAAAGTGCTGCAATTAACACATTATTTCGTGTTTAAATTAATATTAATGATGAATACTGTTTATTTATTAAAGACTCGTGCTGCTCAGTTTGGGCAATGTCTGCGATTACTCCTATTTAATGATCAAATAAATGAAAAGCAACTCATAATTCTACATGAGAAAAACACTGGCCAAGGGTTTGATTGCCACTGGAATTCGCTAACGTGTCGCTGATAATTCCTAGCAAATTTCGTGCCTCCACCTATCGAACAGATCTGTAATTGCTTAATTCGCATAAAAATGAATACATACATACAATGCACAAACAAATAATATTAAATATATTTTAGCATTACAGTTCAGCAAAGTGTTGTAGGTTTTGTGCTGAAACAAATTCAAATTTCAAATGGGCGCACACCGCGTGTCAAGCACGAAATGTGTCCATCTCTAACGTGATTGCCCCTCTGGAGAAAAATTCCATTCAGAGCGTGCCAAACTGTAATATGACAGTGTTGGTCAGATTTTGTCTCCATTTATTGGCGCATTTACGTCACGTAACATCATCACTGACAATTACGCTAAAGCCTTAGGTGGATCAGTTTGCCGATCGATCAGTAATAAATGTTGGCTGCAAGAATGCGTTTCGTGCAATATTTGCGTAAGGGCGATCTCGCCAAGCGTCTCGGCCTGCTGGTCGACGATCAGAAGTCCGTGGTTGAGCTGAGCGGTGTCGAGGGTGTGCCAAGTGACTTGAAAACTTTGATAGCGCAGAATCCCAATTTGGAGGAGCTTGCGCAAAAGGCTCAAAAGCAGCCGAAGCTGGCCTTGAACGATGACATCACACTGCTGCCTCCACTCAGCGAGCCGGGCAAGATCATTTGCATAGGCCTCAACTATAAGGATCACTGCGACGAGCAGAACAAGCCGGCGCCGAAAGAGCCCATGTTCTTCAGCAAGTACAACAATACTTTGGTCGGTCCCCACGACAATGTGATAGCTCACAAGGCCACCAAGGTATGACTCAGCTAAATACATTATTCACAGAGATCAAGAGCCAATTCTCGTCTCTCCTTAGAAACTCGACTGGGAGGTAGAATTGGTTGTGGTTATTGGCAAGGTTGCTCGCCATGTGGCCAAGGAGGAGGCGTTCGACTATGTCTTTGGTTACAGCGTTGCCCAGGACATTTCGGCACGCGACTGGCAAAAGGAGCGCAATGGTGGCCAATTCTTGCTGGGCAAATCAATGGACACCTTTTGTCCACTGGGTCCAGCTGTAGTGCACAAGAGCCTGATCAAGGATGTCTACGATCTGCCGCTCAAGACATGGATAAATGGCGTTGAGAAGCAAAATGGCAATACGAGCAATATGATCTATAAAATTGATGATGTCATCAACAGGCTGACAGAGTGAGTTACAAGTCCCACGTAAATTTTACATTTGATTCTAACTTCATCTTCATTTTCAGGACAATAACTCTGCTGCCGGGCGACATCATCTTGACGGGCACACCCAAGGGCGTGGGCATGCATCGCAGTCCGCCGGAGTTTCTGAAGGCCGGCGATGTGATCAAGACGGAGATTGTTGGCCTGGGCACAATGATCAACAATGTTATTGCACCCTAAGCAATGCATTCAAAAAATTGTTATCCATGTTATTTTTGAAGTAAACGCAAAAACGTTTCGCATTTAATTAGACTTTGAACGTCTTCGATTTGGTGGCAAAGTACTCGTCGCGTTTGTGGTAAGGAGCATAGGGATCATCGATATAGTGCTTGGGGCGACGCCAGTAGCTGGTGACCATCTTGTCCAGCAGCCAGCTCTGTGTGGCATTTGTGAAGACGTGTTGACGCAGACGGCGGCGCAACTCGGCGGACTTCTTAAACAGTTTCTTCTGCCGGCCTGAATGTGTGCGAATCCAGGCGCCCCAATCCAGGCGTTTGAAACGCTTCAGCACCGCCTTGACGGATTTGCGTTTGCCTTTGATTAGCGAGAACTTGGTGACGCTGCGAGCGGAGCATTGTGCTGTTGTAGCTGGTAGCTGTAAGAGTTTCGGTGTCGGCATCGGCGTCAGGCTGTTGGCGGGTAAAAGATTTATCTGGCGCTGGGCAGGAGCAGATGCGGAAATCAAATGGCCAAAAAATGCACGTTGAGTTTGTTGTACGCTGAATGCCGGCTGCACACGGCACACACTGCGTAGCGCTGTCAAAAATACGTATTTAGAAATATTATATATTTACATAGGTATTTAAGGCTTACCATTATTCACTAGCGTACGCAGCATATTATTATTATTAGTTTTAATAAACCACAATGATATCAAAACTTTTATTCAGTCGCGTAACAGCGGAGATCAGCTGTTTGACATTAACACATGCTCTGAGATGCCATTCCCATTTTACGGCGACAGTGTGCGCACATTTTAAAAACACAATTTATAAACTTCATGAATTTTTATTTTTACCACTAGATTTGTAAATATTATAAAATTGTCTCAAATGAATGTTGGAAATTTATGTTGATTTAATATTAAGCACACATTTCATTTATCTGTCGTAGCCACTTACTGCACGAATGGGAGAAGCTGCCAGCAATCGATTGCCATTCGTTTGTGAACGTACAAATAACGTCGACGGCCAGCGACGAACAAACAGCAGCCAGTATTTGTCGTTGGAGAGAAATTGGGCAGGAAAACTATTCTCGCCGCCGGTTCAAATCTGCAGCAGGCACCATCAAGTTAAATTATCAAAATTCTGTGGCTACATCATGTATCGGCTAGCAGCTTTCGAGTGCAAAAGTGCGATGCAGGTATTAAATACGAAACGTGTGTGCGGCAATCGTCGCGTGAAAATCAATTGTGTGTCGGTGACGTCGCTCGCCCCGCACGCGCCCACAAACAAAACCAAGTGCAAAAAACAGAGCGCTTGTGTGTTATGTCATCTAGCAAATGCAGTTAATAAGCAAAAAAATGATCCAAAATTCCAGTCAGACACTGGGAATGCCTTCCCATTTCCAATTAGAATCCTCTCGATTGTCTCTTTCTAGCGCACACTGCCTCCAACGAGCAGCAGACAGTACAGCAGCAGTAACAATAACAACAGAAGCAACAACAACGGAAATGGTGGAAAGCAACAACGAGAACAACATTGGCAAAAAAGTAGCCTGCCTCCACCGCCGAACATGCGAGAAGCTGGCTTTGGCAAAGTGATGGTCCTGCTGACACCACTGGCTGCAGTCGGCGGCGTTATTACCTATTCCAAGTAAGTCACTGGCAGGCAGTTGAAGTTCTCCACACTCCTGACCAGTATCATAGGTGCCCACTATTTTATGTATCTGCCAATTATCTATTTCCTTGTGTATACTTTGCTTCGATTTGCAGATACAACAAAGATTTCCGTCAAATGGTTGAGAAGAATGTGCCCGGTGCTGAATCGATCATTAAGGTTGCGCTGCAAGAGGAAGCACCTTTCCAGGGTATAACCAAAAATGTGAACGATCAATTCGACAAAGTCAAATCGACATTCAACAGCGTTTCCGACTCGGTGAGCTCAGTCACCAGCACAGTGACAGGCTTCTTCGGCGGCAACAGCGCGCCCGATGTAAAACCCTCTGGTGCAGCCAAACCAATCGAAGTCAAGGAACCCAAGCAATCGGAAGCCGCTAAGACCAAACCCACCACTGCCGCCGTTGCGAAGAGTGAACAGAAAACTGCCACCAAATTGGCCACAGCAGCGCCGTCGGCACCAAAACCACCACCGAAGGTGGAACCATTGCCAAAAGAGGTTGTGGACCTGGAGAAGGCAATAGAGTTGTCGGCGCAGCTGGCGATCAAGGAATACAATGCAGCTATTGCCATTTTAAAGGGGTGCCTAATAATAATAGATATATTCCATCAATATTTCGATATTTACACACACCTTTCATAATACAGTTTCAATGAAGATGTGCGACGAGTTGTGGACAAGGCTGTCGAGCATGGCGAGAACTCGCTCTGGGCAACGCTGAAGAATCGGGCGAGTGCACGCGACTCAGCCGTTGCGACGGCAGAGCGTGCCGCACGTGAAGCACAGGAGAAGATCGGTTAGTCCTCTTCATCAGAGATCATCATTCCTTTTAATGGTCATTCCAATCCCTACATTTTGATTGCAGAGCGCTGTGAAGTTGCATTAAGCAAAGCGGCCACAGCGAAAAACCATGAACAGGTGGAGGAGTTGCGCAACAAAATTAAGAAGATGGTTTCGCATATTAGCCAAGTCAAGGATGATCTGTATAGACATAAGGATACGGCGAGTGTATCCGATAAATATTGGCGCAGTGTTGAGCAGGCACGCAACTATTTCATCGATGAAATCGAGTCCATCTTTCCTGGCATCAATCTTTCTGAAAAGAAATTGAGCCTATCCAAAGAGGATCTGGATTTGTTCATACTGCACGCCTACTCGCACGTTGTCGCCTACCAAAAGGAGCTGCAGCGCCTGCAAACCGACGGCGAGCTGCGTCTGAAGCGTGCCATCGATTCATTGCGTGGCGACAATAGCTCCGAAGCGCTTCGCGCCCAACTAGACTTTCATTTGGAGGCGGAGAAGCGCAAGCTGGCCGTGGAAAATCAGAAAAGGATATTCCAAATCCATGCCGAAGCCGACAAGCAATTGCGCTTGCAGCTCAAAAAGCAGGCCGAAGCTCACGTCGACCACATCAAGGATGTTGTGGCGCAGCGGGAAACGGAACTGACGCGCTCCTTCAAGCGCGAGTTGGACGACAAGTTGGCCGCCGAGAAGGCCAACTACAAACTTCAGCTGGCTGCTATGCTGGGCAAGCTACGCGGCATGGATGCTGCACTGGCTGGTAAGTGAATTACATTTTCTATGGACTTCATTTTTATTTAGTTGACAACGACACGAGTAGCTGGAAAACTATCAGTAGAATCTTTTAATGTTTATTAATAATATTGGATTGCTTAAAGTCTCAGATTTTCTATGATTCCGATTACGATGCACAAATCGTTCGTAATAATTTTACTCATATAAAATGTATGAAACTGACACACTTCTATATTTAAAATAGAATAGCATTTTAACATTTGAAGGGCACCGATCGTTTTCCAGCTATAAAAATAGATACTTAGTACTCTGGCTAGTATTTAAATATTATAAACACCCAAATTGCTTTCCTATGCTGCTTGCTTAGAAATAGAGGACAAGTTTCAAGGTATAACCCGAGCTTTTAATACTCTGTTCAAGCATCATTTAACTGTTATTTAACCAATATTTTGTTTAACCCTTCATAGAGCGGGCCGAAACGGAGCGCACGGCCAACCAGGCACAGGCCTTGTGGGCTGCCTGCCAGGCTCTTTGGGCATCGGTACGCACAGCCACGCCCGGTGTGCACTACAAGGATAAGTTGCGACCCCTCAAGAATGAGATAAAAGCCATCGCTAAGGTTGCTGGTGAGTTGCAACTGAAATTGATAGCGTGTTTAATTAATGCTAATATTTGTGATTGTTTTGTGCAGAGGGCGACGAACTGGTTATCGCGGTCTTGGAAAACATGCCCAAAGAGGCCCAGGAGCGTGGTGTCTTTCCTGAAGATGCATTGCGTGAACGTTTTTTGAATGTGGAACGCATTGCTCGTCGTTTGGCGATGGTACCCGAAAATGGTGGCAGCCTGCCCATTTATTTCCTTTCATTTCTGCAATCGATTTTCATCATGCGACCGGATAGTCCCGTCTCCAAGGATGAACTAGAAAACAAGCCTTTCGACTATAGCAAATTGGACACCTATGATATTTTGAATAGAGCCAGGTACGCGCACTGAGCAGTTATTATATGAAATTTGTGAATGCAAGACGGGATTTTGGTTTTGGTTTTTGTCAGGTACCATGTGGATCGTGCTGATTTCCTCCAAGCGCTAAAATACTTAAACCTACTACAAGGTGCGCCTCGTGAAGTTGCCAGCGACTGGATGAAGGAGGCTCGTCTAATGCTGGAGACACAACAGGCGGCCAACACGCTGATGGCTCATGCCGCAGCTAGCGGCTTAATGTATTTGTAAATTATGTCTCCCATTGTGTCCCCGGTTTAGTTTTCAACAGTTTGTTTTTGATTTTACCCGCTGAGAGTCAATCACGAGAACTTACTTAAAAAAGGGCATTGATTGTGAAATTTTGTTTTAGAAGCAATTATACAAATTACAAATATAGAGGTCTGAAACGGCAATGAAAGTACTTTTACGCATAAGGATTTACGACTTTATTTCTCAACTTGCCTAATTTTTGTATTTCACTTTCGACAAGATCGCCGGGCTTAAGATAACTTGATGGATGGCGATAGGCGCCAGTGCCAGCTGGAGTTCCAGTTAAAATTATATCTCCCGGGCAAAGAGTCATGAATCTGAGTTAAATATATGATCATTAAATGAGAATGAAAATTGTAACTATGCAATACACTTACTGAGAGAGTCGATTTATTAAGTAGTCTATTTTGAAGATCATATTTTCTGTGTTGCCGCTTTGGCGCTCTTCACCATTAACGATCGTCGTAATCCACAAGTTATCCACATCTGGCACATGGCATTTGTGTACAAGGACCGGTCCTAAAGGACAGAACGTATCCAGAGACTTTCCCAATAAAGTCTGCCCGCCGAGCAGGACATTCCAGTCGCGTGCGGTAATATCCTGAGCAATCATATAACCAAACACACAGCTCATTGCCGCTTCCCGAGAGACGTGGCGACATTTCTTGCCAATTACCACGGCCAACTCGCAGCCGTAATCAATGCGCTGCCCATGTGTATACATGCATATATACATATATATATAAATATATAATTATAATATATTGGATTCGTGGTGGTTACCTTGGCTATTTGATGGGCACGTATATTATCCATAGCACCTGTGATGGCAGTATTAAATTTGACAAAAAAAACGGGCTCCTTGGGTACACATTCGCGTCGCTCCGAACAGCTGTCATAGTAATTGCAACTGACACCAATAATCTTGCCCGGCGAATGTATTGGAGGTAGTAGTATTAGATCCGGACTCACATTGTCCACATCCATAAATTGAATGCTGTCGAGCAGACTACTCATGCAGTACCTTTGCTGTATAAACTGGACCATATCAGGAGAGGCACAGGTTCTACTCGACAGTTCAATCATTTTGGAACCGTTTTCCGAGACCATACCAAGACGTTTGGTGGCATTGCCCGACCGCATGTACTGTATAAAGCGACCTTTTGGAATATCAAATTCGTCCAGCCCGGATGAGATAATTGATTCGGAAGCATTGATTTTCAACTGATCCCACGGTAAAGCTTTCGCATGCATTCGCGCAGATCCGAAGCGGTTACGCAGCAAAGATACTGCCGCTCTCATTATTTGGTTTCATGTAATGTGTCTTGAATTTTGAAATTAATTAATTGCGCAAACTTTGTAAAATGAAAATTTTGAATTCACACTTTTTGCTGTATTGCCTGCCAAACTTATTTCTAAACATTCTATGTATTGAAATTTAAATCAACGTTGTGTTATCCAAAAATTAAGCTTTTGCAGATTTGATTTTTGGCGGTCGCATTGGATATATCGATTGTCAGACTGTCTGTTAGTATATCGATAGCTATTGATATAAATGGAATACATTTTGTTTTCAGCTATTAACGATATTAAACGAATTCATGAGAATTTTTGACAAACATTTCGGTCGTTATAATACAGCAAAATTTAATTTGAAACAAAAACTATTTTTCTCTGTTATCGGGACTAGAGACATTGTTCAATTCGATAAGTTGACAACAACCCTAGTCAGCTGTTACTGTTGGTTCCCGATTAAAATTTCGCAAAAGTAAAATTGAAAATTTAAACGCTTATACATTTAAGGTCTCTTTTATTTTCATTAATAAATAAAATAGTCTAACGTAGGATCAACATGTCGATGCTGGCTAGAACCCTAGGACGCAGCCTTTTGCAGGTAAACGACACGAGACACAAATGGCACAGTGCTTACATAAACGTCTCACAAGTTCTGTGCAGCAGCCGCTGTCGTCGCACTTGTGGCCAAAACCAGCACAGATGCAAAGTTTTTGAGGTTAACATCCTCGCAAGAAAATACTAATTATGCATTTTCTCCATTAACAGCAGGCAGCCGCAGTGCGTCAACTTCATCTCTCAGCAGCACTCAACGCTGAGGTGTGTATTTAGTTTAAAAGATATAAATGCGTGCAAATATTTAAATTACACATTGCTGGTTTTAGGGCGCCTATAATGCTAATAGAACCACCTGCACTCTGATACCTGGCGATGGTGTCGGCCCCGAGCTGGTCTATTCGCTTCAGGAGGTTTTCAAGGTGAGCTATCTATTTGTCAACATATATTATTTAGTTGATATATGCAAATTCAAATACGTTTAGGCAGCGAATGTGCCCGTTGACTTTGAAGCATACTTTTTGTCGGAAATCAATCAAGTGTTGAGCGCCAAGCTGGAGGATGTCGTGGCTTCCATCCAAAAGAACAAAGTTTGCATTAAGGTAAATACAACTTTGATATGATTTATAAACATGGCAACTTCTTCAATAACATACATAATAACTTCTGTATTTTGCTTACTTAAACAGGGTATTTTGGCCACACCTGATTATAGTAATGAGGGTGAACTGCAAACGCTTAACATGAAACTCCGCAATGAGCTGGATTTGTATGCGAACGTAGTGCATGTGCGCAGTTTGCCTGGTGTTAAGACACGCCACACCAACATTGATACGGTCATCATTCGTGAACAAACCGAAGGTGAATACTCTGCTCTGGAGCATGAGTCGGTGCCTGGTATTGTCGAGTGCCTGAAGATCGTCACTGCCAAGAAGTCGATGCGTATTGCCAAGTTCGCCTTCGATTATGCCACCAAAAATAACCGCAAGAAGGTCACAGCGGTGCACAAGGCTAATATCATGAAACTGGGCGATGGCCTGTTTCTGAGGTCGTGCGAGGAAATTTCCAAGCTGTATCCCCGCATTGAGTTCGATAAGATGATTGTGGACAACACGACCATGCAAATGGTATCCAATCCAAATCAATTTGATGTGATGGTCACACCCAATCTGTATGGTGCTATTGTCGATAATCTGGCCTCTGGCTTGGTCGGCGGCGCTGGCGTCGTTGCAGGTGCTTCTTACTCGGCAGATGCGGTTGTGTTTGAACCGGTAATCACTTGCATTTGTGATCTCTCGCATAAACATTCATATATTATTGTGATCTTTGTTTTTTTCAGGGTGCACGTCATACCTTCGCCCAGGCTGTCGGCAAGAATCTTGCTAATCCAACAGCCATGCTATTGTGCGGCACAAAGTTGCTGCGCCACATCAATTTGCCTACGTACAGTGAGGTTATACAAAACGCCATTAACCAGGTGCTTAAGGACGGCAAGGTGCGCACCAAGGATTTAGGTGGCCAATCCACCACGCAGGACTTTACGCGTGCCGTCATTGCCAATCTGCACTAGGCAAAGAATCGAATTCAGCAGCTGAAATGGACACAAGAATAGCTGCCCAGGGTTTATGCCTACTTAGACAATTTACTGTTGTTATTGCCTACCAAAATTGAATTGTTAAATACGCTTCACATATTTAGTTTGCCTTTCATCTTTCAGTATGATTTCCCCCCCGCCCCCCCCATATTTTAATGCAATCTTTGAGTATTATTTCTGGCGAATATTTAAGTTTAGTGCAAATACCTCGCCCCCCACCACAAAAAAAAAAAAATTTTAGTTTTACGAATTGGCCGTATTGATTATTATTTTATGATTATCATTATTTTTTTGTGCAAAATTCAAATTGCATTCGAATTTTGTCACCAAATTTAAGTTAATGACAAGGAAGTGCAAAAGAAAAACAATAAGAAAAATCAATTACTGTAAACCAACTCAAAGTGTAGCGAGAACTGTAATGGAAAAAATAAAAAATAACTCAATCATCAAAGCCATGTGAATTGTTTTGAGAATTGTAGTTTCAGCTGTCCTAACAGAGTTTGGGATACAGTAAAAACTCTTGGAAAACATTTCACGTTTTATTTTATAAAGTGAGAGCGAGGAAGGGACCAAAATACGTAATACCAAACAAGTCAACTACATGTACAATGTTTAGGTCGAGCCTTTGGGCTTGGCCAATTCTATAAGCCGCGGCGAGGCTTTGGCCTTGAGTGCCGCCGGTGAAATGGCAAAAGGATTCTCGCGTATATGAGTATTTTCGAACTCCTTTGGCTCGGCTAGCTCCTTCATACGCGCCGATGTCTTGTATTTGAGAGCGTTTGGTGATATGGCAAACGGATCGTCCTTCAAATCGCCTGGCCCCAAATTGGCCTCGTGCTTCGCCAGCGGTTGCGACATCTCCTTGATGCGCGCGCTCGCTGTGTATAGCTCAATGATGACACACAGCATTGATTAATATTGGATTTACTCACGTTTGTACTTCAGAGCAGTGGGAGAGATCTTTTCCGGATTCACATTAGTGTGCACATTTGGGCGTTCCACTGGCTTGGCCAAGATCTTAACACGATCCGTCGCCTTGTACTTACGCATACCGGGTGTGATCTCCCACTCTGGCTTGATGTCCTCTAGGTATGTCTTGGGACTCGATAGTTTCTTGAGACGGCGCTGATCTATCTCGCCCGCTTTCCGTTCCTGTACGACATTATTAAATTATTATTTAGTGATGGATTCAGCCAACGAGCGCATATCTTTTTTACTTACCGGTTTTGGTGGCTTGATGGGAACTTTCGGCTTCGCCAGTTTCTTGATATATTTATTGTGTTTCTTCAATTGTTTATCGGTAAGCTTCTTTTTTTCTACCCTGTTAGGAAGTTTGTCGAAATAATTTAATAGCTCATAAGCACAATTTTGATTGTAATTTGCAACTTACGGCTTCTGTAACGGCTGCAAGTTGGCCAATCGACTGTACAGTGAAAGGTAACTGCTGCGTAGCCATCGATTTAAAATACTCTCGCCAATTTTATCACCGATACGAATTGCCTCTTTTAAACGACAGAGCAACCGTCGGACCGTTGGCAAAGCGAGTTGCTCGGTCCGGGTGTGCATGGGCATTTGGGCTGGAATGATCTCAATTGTTTTCGTGAAGGGACAGGCACATTTTGGTATAAAACGGCACAGGGGCCTTCTGGGTACTGCCAATTCCAAAATACGCATTCGCTTTGTGAAACTTTTCTCATGCCGTTGATAGAGATTCTTTAGCTCCTTGCAGATATCCCTGACAAAACATTCGGCATCGTATGGTATACGCTCCCGAATGGTACAGCAATCGGGACGGACACTGTCGGCAAGTCTTAAGCAGGTTGTAAGCTCTGGACTAAGATCACATTTTAATCGTTTCATTACCATTTTTTTTATTTTTATTTTTTAACTTTTCACTAAGAATTTGCTGCCATTTGCTTTGTAAATTAATGTTTAAATTAAATGGGCGCCCACAAAGCCTACTACTCAGATTATTAGATACATTTTATTTTATAAGCGAAATAAAAACGATGGGATTTCTTTAAATTTTATTAAATTTTTATTGACAGTATTCATCAAAATACTGAGAGCTCCATGTTCACATCATTACAAGTTAATAGTTGTGTTTTTCTCATTTGTAAGTATGTATGTTTTTAGTTGATCTTGCCATAATACCTCTGTTTTTTTCACATACATTTACACAAATCTAATCTTTATTTCTTTCCAATTTTGGTTTTCCATTTTTACATTGATTTTGACAACATTGTTTCCATTTTTTGTTTGTTTGTTGTTAATATTTTTTGGTTGGCATTCAATTTGTAGTAAGAACAAAAGAACTTTTGTAAATTAATATCCATAATGATGATAATAATAATAATGGTTTTTTCGTACATAGAATTTTAGCATACATACACAAATATATATACTATAAATTTGAATTTATCATTTACTAAGTTGACATAAATTTTGCTAATTTAATTGTTTAGATTTGTTTGACTTTATGTTTTATTTTTTTCATTTTTGACTGCTATTTAATTTATTTATTTACACCAAAATTACACCAAATAATAATTTGATTTTTAACTAAATTGTGTTTAGTTTTGCAATTTTATGACTCCTCTGTTTTGTTAAACATACATTTCCAGCCAAATTCTTAGTACTTTAAGATTAATGAAATGGTTTTATAATTTAGTTTACTTGCATATCGTATACAAATTTACTTACATTTAGAATTTTTCATTATCCGGTTCTGACGTTTATGAAATCTTTTTTGTCTTTCACATATTTTTTTTTTATTATTACCAAAGGGGATTGATATGTACACAAGTACATACAATTTGTATTTAAATTCCATTCACATGCATACTTATACTTTTGTATTATTTATTCAAAATGTTTCCCTAGACGTTCCTTAGACTTGATTTTGTAGATTACAAATGAATATTTAATTATGGCATATTGGTGTCATTATCTGCGATACTTAAATATGCTTTATGAGTCAAATTTTTGCTTTAATTTTGATGTACATATATATATATTTTTTGAAATGATTACCAGTTATTCATTAAATTTTTTGTTTGGTCCCTGAAGCTGTTGAGTTTAGATTTACGATAGCATTATTCGTATATGATAGTTTTGCCTTCATAACCAGGTCTAGAACATTGTACTAGTACATAAGTATCTTATTTCCAAAGTGTTTAGTGTTTTGAACTAAATTAAATATTGAAAAACTTTGAGAAAAATGAGGTTAATTAATTAAGGGAAAACATTTTTTTTAATGGTTAATCAAATGCGGCTCACCTTTACCTTTATTTATGTTGCCAATTTTTTTGTTTTGTTTTGTTTTATTTTCTATTTGATTTTGCAAAATGTGAAAATGGAGCAAATATTGACGGTGTTGGGATATTGTTTGCTCCAGGTAACCCCATCACGGTCAATATTTACTTTGGGCTATTGGTTAGTATATAATAACTATACTATTCATAGATTACTATGGCATTTAATAATAATACTTTTAGCATTTGTATGTGTGTAGATATGTGAGTAGCATATCATTTAATCATTTAGCTGTTTCTCCTGTTTGGTGAAAGATTAAAATAAAAGCCTCTGTGTGTTTTAAAATATCGAAATAAAAATTAAAACTGCAGTTGTTTAACTAAAATATTTGTTTTTATTAATAAACATTTTCAGCGTAAATATATGATATATATAAATATATAAATCTTTTTTTTTGTGTTTAAAACATAATAAGTAAATAATAAGAATAACGAAAATCATAAACTTAATCATAATTATAAGTGTATATATAACAATTATGCACGCTGAACAAATTTAAATTTAATTAAAAGTTTACATTTAACTTATGTCCATCCTATTTTTTCCGTATATTTTTAACCAAATTACGCATTTTTGTTGTTATGAATTACTTAAGAAAATGATTTCCTTTGATTTTTTTTACTTAAGAAAGTTGCTTTTCCCATTTGCTTTTGTAAAAATAATATACACTCATATACATAGATATAACATTTTCGCTGTAAAGAAAATATCAAATAATCAAGAAATAATTTCAAAGTATTACCTCTATGGAATTTGACATTCAAATAATTGGTTTTTGAAATTCTTGCTTAAGTTTTTATCTTTGCTATTTTGTTGTTGATGTTTCCTGGTTTTAATGCTAAATACATATGTTACTTATGTACTTATGGGCTATTGCTAATCATAATGCATTTATATGTAGTTATGCTTATTGGCTGTGAAACAATTTCTTTATTTTCTTGTTTTTGTTTTGCACAATAAAAAGTTCATAAAATTATTTGCTGTAATTGATAAATGCAAAAAAAAAAAAAAATTCTTTTGCTCAGTTTACTGTGTTGTTGTTTGCTTTATAATGTACTTTTTTTTTGTATTGTACTTGCATCAGTTTAAACGCATCTAGGGCGTCATCTTTGTTGTAGTAAAAATAATCTAAATGTATGCTGCTAAAAACGAGAAACTGTTTTTTTTTAGTGTTTTAAAAAGGCTTGAAATCGTAGCATACAAATTGTAACAAACAGTTCAATAAGAAGAGTATTACTTTTTGCTTGAGATGCAAACGATTTGGTTTTCTGTTTACGGTTGCCTTTTTATTTGTTTGCCAATTACTTAGAACTATTGCTGTGTTTTTTTATTTTGTATTTTTAGTGGTTAATATGATAAGTATTTCTTTCTAGGGCTATTGTTTTGTTTTAACTGTATCTATGTGGAGTGAGTGGTTGAATCAATAATTGAAATAAAAATTGTTTCATTTACTTATGACAAACGCACAATGCTGCGTATACGTAATGCGGCAAAATGCTCAGCACTCTCTTCGATCTTGTTCTGCTTCTTTTTTCTCTTGCTTGTCTATTGTATGCTTGGCTATGATCGTTAATTATGTGGCTATTGTATTGGTTATTGCTATAAATTGAAGTTTGTTTAAAAATCATTTGTTTCTGGTTTATGTGTGTGTTGTGTGGGTGTTTTTGTGTGTAATTGTGGATGTGTGTTTCTTTTGCGTTTTGGTTGTTGGATTTAAAGTTAATTGTTGTGGCTATGGCTATTTCTATTACTGTGGCTATTTTAGTTTGTAGTAAGAGAGTAGTACTATTGTTTAATAAAATTGTTCGGTAATTGCTTGTAGAAAAAAGAAAAGTACAATCGACGTCAGGCTTTGTGTTTTGTTGTCTGATTAATTTATTATATGGTACATCAAATATGTACTCGTATACAATATTTTGATATTGTATATCGTTCTTGAATATTTCTCAATTTTTAGTTCAATTATTTTGGGCTATTGTTGTTTGTTTTTATCCGTTTGTTGTTGTTGGTTGTCTTTGCTGGGCTGTTTTGGGCTATTGTTTCTTGTTGTTTGCTCGTGTTCTTTGCTTTTTCTTGTTGTAGGTCGCTTACCGCTCAAGTAAAACATAAAAAAAAATGTGTTCTGAATTGGATTTGTTGGCACAACTTAACATTGAATTATTTTTAATGGTTCCTCGTTTTTATAACTGCTTTTGAAGTAACAATAAATTTCTGTGATGTTTGGTTCATGACTGCAAATTCTTTACAGTTTTTTCTAGCAAAATTAAAACTGACTTTGACTTTAGTTACGTGTATATAATTGGAGAACCTAGGCATATTTTTAATGTCTATAAAAGTTATGTGCACTTATATTTGATTTTTGATTTTCAATTAAAGGTTTTTCTTTGTTAAATAATAATGGTTGCTGTTTAGATATACATACTTATATCAGTTGTTATTAACATATATTTGTTTGTCGTTTATTTGTTTGTTTGAAACAATTGCACTATAAGTCAAATGTGTTGCCCGTTCGTAATAATATTATAAAAATTGATTAAAGAGAATAGCTTATAATGTGGTCTAATATATACAAAACACAAATCAATGCTAACAACAGTGGCAACACGCCAGTCTGCTACACGCTGGTAATAATATACATTCACACATATATATGAACATAGGTATGCATGTATTAATTATAATATTTATAAACAAGAAAAATATATTTAGGTAATAATAAGTAAAATTTTGATTTGTCTATTTTGCGTAGACTGCGCGTACAGATAATTAGAATAATTGTAATAATATATGCACTAATTCAGATATACATACATAAATTATAGAGACAGAAAATAAACACTAAGTATATGCACTTATATTCAGCAAATTTTGATTCATGTTGAACAAATTATACTTTATACACAAAGGTGAGCAATCCTTTAAGCATACTAAAAAACTTTAAACAATTACATAATTATCAATAAGTATATCGATTTAATTTTTATACAATTATTAACTATTAATTTGTAGTAAACAAAGAATAAGTAATGTATGGGTAATCAATCTTTTTTCTCTCCGAAAAATAAAACACGTACCTGAGCGTTTTTGCACGCTCACCTGCCTAGCCTTGGCTATATCCGGAAGGCCAAATTGTTGCTGTCAACTTTTGGGCATGCGAATTGCAGCGGCCAGAGGTAAGCATGCAAAACTTCTATACAATTCAACATTCTCAAGCTGTTACTCATTACACTCGACATTTAAACCTACCATTAGGTTGACATTTCAGTATCTCAGGCCCTTACATTCGGCTTGGTTGTTATCAGTTTTCAGTTTTCTATTGTATATACTCGTAAGAATGCCATTGTTTGTGTGTATTGTTGGGTATTTCTTTTAAATTTTTATTTTAATTTGATTCATAGTACGTTTGGCTTGTGCAATGTTTTCTGGTTAACTCAGACACAAAGCACAAGACAACGAGCCCATCCCTGGTGGCTAGGCTGGCATGTTTGTTTGTTTTTTTTTTATATATTTTTTTATAAACATTTCAAATAATTGTTTGCTTAAGCAAACCGGCCTTGAAATTGCTCTGAACATGTATCGAAATATTTGCTAAATTTCGTAAATTTTTAACGTTTGCTTCTTAATATAAACCGTATAATTGCACTTTATTTTTACTTCTCATTATTTTTAGTTTGATTTTTGTTTATCATCTTTTTACATATAATTGTTTTTGTTTGCGTTTTATAAACAAAATAAATATAATGCAATTGCATATATTTTTATTGTAATTGATTTTATTTTTTTTTTATAATTTTTTTGTTTGTTTTGTTTTGTATAATTTTGGTTTTATAAAATGTTTTCACTTCATTTTTTCAAAGCTGTTTTTATTTTATAATTTTGTTTATAGACTGTTTTTCTGCATTTCGTGTAAGTTTTGAGTAAAAAATTTTCCAAAATATATGTACAACTATATATGCTCTGAACTGTCTGTTTTTAGTGATGTGCTGTAGTTGTTGCCTTGTTATTTAACCGTTTGAAAAGTAAATAGGCTTTCATACTGTTGTCCTACTTTGCTCTTATATTCAGTTGTTAAAACCAACTTGTGGCTACAGTAAGAATTCCCATTGCTTCACAAACTTTATTGTTTTGCTTGTGCTCTGTTAAGTTATTGTTGTTAATTATTTGTATCCGATCCATTTACAATTTGTTTATAGCTTTTTCTATATGTTTCAATATTATAATAGATTTGCATTGTTATAATTTTTTCTCGTTAAGATTGTGTTTTTTATGTATGCCTAACCAACATTAGTCAGAAAAAGTTTCTTCAAAATTTTGGATTATTAATCACAGATAGTGTGTCTAATATATATGTATATATGTATGTATAATAAATATTTATGTATACTTCAAATATAATTAAATTAGCAATAAATACTTTTTTGTTTTGATTTTTCTTCTCGTATAATAAACAATTTTTTTGTTGGTTTGATACGCACACATTTCGCATGCCGTGATGCAAATAATTTACTAAATTTTACATTTTTTCTTATGTTTTTTTTTTATACACCAAATGCTTGTTTTTATTTATAAGTATGCCTCAATTTAAATTTTTCTCATACAGATATTTTTTACTAAACCACAACATTTATGCACATCAAATGTATTTTTAAAGATTAGCCAATAAATATCCCTTAAACTTTCCATGCTTAAATAATATGTATATTTTTGTTCAACTTTAAATGCTTTTAAATGATTTTCTTTATATTTTTCCACATCATTATTTGAATAGAATTTAATTTTTCTTTTGTCATATGTGTTTTAATTACAATTTACTAAACATTTCGACATATTTACCGACTTTAAAAATACATATGTTGTATATATAATTTTGTTATTTTGTTTTTTGTTTGTTTATATGTTTATATCTTTCTGACACTTACTAGCTAGCACACAAAATATGTTCTTTAGGTACATTTAAATATATTTTTTATTTATTTTTTATTTACGCATACATTTAGTAACCCATCAATAATTTTGAAATGTTTCTCAAATCAAGAGACATCAAAAGGGCGTGTGTGACTCAATGTTGGCCAAAAGGTGTTACAAGTGTGTACTGTTAGGAGAGGTTATTACTTTTTACGGTGTAAATATGTTAGACGTTCCATTTTTGTTTGTTGTATATTGTGTAAAGAGTGTATAGAGTGTATAAGTACATTTAAATATATATAGTTGCTCAAAATGATCATGTGTTTTGTTTGAGGTATACGCGTAGTGATGAAGACACACATACATTATATATATAAATATATAATTTATATATATTTATATAGATAGATATAGAGTTATTTTATTTTCATTTTGTGTCTTTATTAGGCAGCATATAAGTTTTGAAATATTTTTATTACATGCCTCCTTAATATTTGCCAAATTATTCAGTTGCCAATTTTGAATTTTTTTTTGTTTTTGTTTTATTTAATGCCTAAACACATGTACATGAATACATTTTATATTTGATTTAAACACCGAAACATCAAATTTTTGCTTTTATACATATTAATATGTATAAAGTAACTTTTTTTTCTCCTATATATATTTTTATGTAATTTTGATAAATATGTGTGGCTGGATAAGATCAAATATCAATTTTGATTATCAAATGATATATTTAAGCAATTCATTTTGGTTTGTTTTGTGTATTTGATGGGTGTCGCTTGGGCATTTTGTTGGTGGTTTTAGTTGTTGAAAATTTAGTTTTGCGTATATTTCAATTTATTGTTATTATCATTTTGTGTGCTTCTACATAACGTTTCTCGTTTCTCGTTTCTCTTATCAATTTATTTAATTTGTAAATGTGAAGGCAGCTTTGTTTATTGATTTCCGTTTTTTGTATGCTTCTTTTTCTTTAAGGTTTCTGGGTTGTAAGTTTCTTTAAGTTTTTTTTGTTTCTTTCAAATTAATGGAATTACAAATGAATCGTTAAGTTGATATTAATTTATAAATGAATTAAACGATAATTTGTTTATAGTTTTTGAATTTTGCTTTGCTATTTCGTTTTTGTATGTTTTGTTGTATTGTGTTGTATTGTTATTGTTATTATTGCTTTTTGGCTATTAAGTATGTTGTTGTTATTGATCGGATATTGTAGCTGTTGTTATTGTTGTTGGTATTTCTAGTTATGGTCATTGCTGTAGTTATTGTAGTTGGGTTTTTCAGTAGTTATGTATCTGGCGTCTGCATTGCGATTGCGAAAGTCCGTAAAGAATCACATTTGAAGTATTGAAGTCAAGTGTTGAAAAGTGTTGATTGAAGTAAAAAAGTCTGGAATGTGAAAAGTTTTCTAATGTATTTTGGACACAATTCGCTTGCAGATGCTGCATAGGTTGGCTGTTCATTGCTTGTAACTGCTTTGCTGATTTTTATTGCATTGTGGGCTGTTGTTTTATTAATTTTCTAATTTAAAAAATATATTTTTATATATAACAACTTTCTAGCTGTAGATTTTTTTTCTTTTTGGCTACTAAACGGAATTGTTAATGCAAATTAAATGTTTCTTATTTTTTTTTTTTTTAAGTTTGGTCTTAACAAATTTTTGTCGCTTATATTCTTGATGTTGTTGATATTTATTTGTAAGGTTTTCTTTTTATTTGGTTTTTTGTTTGTTTGTTTGTTATTTAGAAAGTTTGTACAAGAGAATGCCTATTTGTCGATTGTCAAAAACTAAACAATAAATATACATAAATACGTCGGTTATTTATGTATGTTTTGTTTTGTTGTTGTTGTTGTTGTTGCTGTTTTGTTGCTGTTCTTGTGTATTTCAGATGTGTGCATACATTTTGAAATATGTTGTTTGTTGTGTTAATTACATCTTAACTAACAATAAGAGCCACGACGCTCAGCATAATTCAAATTGGGCTCTTTACTTTTGCTATGTATACATATACATATATCATATATACTTAAAAAATTTGGTTTGCTTCCATCTTATATATGATTTCTAGACACATACTCAATCTGTACAAATACAACTATACTAGACTCGGTTCTCATTTAACCGCTGCCCAACCTAGAAGCTATAGTAGTGTGTGGCCAGCGGTGGCCACACAAATGTTGGTGCCACCAGTTGCTGTTGCTGCTGCTGTTGCTGTTGCTGCTGCGGACAGTCGCCGATGTGCCACCTGCTCTATAACTGCTCCTCGGTGGTTGCCGAATGCACTTCGGACTGCTCGGCCTTGATCTTCGCCAGCTTTTCGTGCAATATGGAGTTACTGGGCGAGATCTGCGCTGCTTGCTGCTCCGACTCGAATTTGACACTGTTGCTGCCATTGAGATCCATCATTTTGTTTTTGTTGCTGCTTGCATTGGCGAGTTGTGCTGCCGCCGAGGAGCTGTGCGAATGTTCGCTCTTCAGGCTACTGGCGTCCGTTTCCGAGTCGCGTGATGTCATCCGGCTGCGGCCATTTCCATTGTTGCTGCTACTGCCGTTGTTGTTGTTGTTGCTGCTGCTCTTGTTGTTCTTGTTGTGCGCCAGGTCGCTGTTGTTGTTATTGTTGTTGTTGGAATGCTCATGATCGTCATCACTGCTAGCACTATCCGCACTGCGCATGGGACTGAGACGCTCACGTTTAATATCCGTATAGGCGCCCATCGGACTGCCGGCACGTTTATTGCTCTCGGAGGTGGAACAGGCGGCGCCGAGGTAGTCATTGCTGCGGTTATTGGTGAACGGCAGTGGCGTCTTCTTTACCAGCAACTGATCCAGCAGTGCATTGCCATTGCCGCTGGTGCTCACATCGCCATCGTTCTTCAGCGTCTTCCGGATGATGCCGTCGTACATGTTCTCGGCAAAGTCAAGAGCACTTTTCATATGCCCGCCACCATGACCATGATGATTGGTAGCCACGCCCAGTTGACTGTTGCGCATCACCTCGGCCAGATGTGACTTGATGAATTCGGGATTGCGATTGAAGTCCAGAGCATAGTTGGCGCCGGCATTCGTCTGTGGCCAGAACATGTTCGGCTGAAAGGACAGCTGCGGTGCTGCATCATATATGGGCAGCTTAATGCCATTGGGCACCGACGCCGCTGCACTTGCCGCACTGCTACTGCTGCTCTTTAGTGCATTGCTTAGCTTGGAGCCGGAACTGCTGGTGGCATTGCTGCTGCTGCCGCTGGCAGCCTTGAGTTTGTCTAGATTATTGAGTGCAGTCAAACTAATCTTATTCGCTGCCCCCGTCAGCCCCACGAGATCCGGTTGCGGTTTGGGCTCCCGCTTGCGCGGTCGCATCAAATGTCGCTCCTTCACTTTGTACTCCAGCGTTGAGTGCGGCACACCATAATAGCTACCGGCACGATGCACAGACATCTCACCCCGCTGCACGGCCTTGACTGCCTCGACCAGGCTGTCCCTGTCGTAGTTGCGGTACTTACCACGCTTCGGTCGCGTCCCCTTGCCAGCTGCCAACGCCGCCGCATCCTGGGCACTGAGCTGCTGATGCTGATGTGAATGCGAATGCGGATGCGGATGCGTATGCTGCTGCTGGTGGGCATGATGTGCGGGTGGCAGATGGCTGTGATGTTGCTGCGCGAGCAGATTAGGTGAGGCGCCAAAGCGTGAGGTGTCTGTGCCGCCAATCATTTTGGCCACCGATATGCTTGGCTTCCTGCTCGCGCTGCTGTTCCCACCGCCTCCACTGCTGCTGCATTCGCTGCCGCTGGTGTTGCCATTGTTGCGCAGACTATCCTGGCTACTCTGCTCGTTGATCTTGCGCTGTATGGTGTTGGCCATCATCTTCTGTATTGATGTCGGCGATGGCGACAACAGATTGTTGCCGGTGTTGCTGCTGCCGCTATGCCTGTAACTGTTGCTGGCCGCTGCGGCAGCAACTGCTGCTGCCAGCATTGGTGAGGCAGAATGTGGGCTATGATCGCCGCTGCCGTTGCGGTTGCTGCTGCTGTGTGTTGTTGAGTTGTTGTTATTGTTGTTGTTCATGCTGCTGCTGCTGCTGTTGTTGCAGCGCAACGTGGGTGAGACGCTCGGTGCGCCGCTGATCTTGAAGGACGGAATCTTCAGTATGGGATCCTCACATGCCTCATTGGCATCCAGCGAGGAGCTCGTCTCAGGCGTTTCAGACTTTGGTAGATGACGGCGATAGGCGGCAACTGCATTTAGATCCTGCAACTGTTGTTGCTGTTGCTGTTGCAGCCGGCACTGATCGAGCAGTGAGGCACTGCCATTGCTCTCGTGTCCAGATGCAGCAGCATTAACCACCGCCTCATTAATCATGCCGCCACTTTTGGCCATTAGCAGCGATTTGAGCAGATCACCCAGCGTCTGCGTCTCGTCCAGCTTGGGTATAACACCAAAGCCGGCAGCCAGGAACAGCGTATTCAACAGAACAGTGGGATCGATGGGCATTGGCATTCCGGTGGCATTGGTGCCACCACCGGCTGCTGCTGCTGCTGCCGCTGCAGCTTGCATATCCGTTGGAGTGCCGTCTCTCTGTGGCGTCCGCGACGACTTTGGCGACAGAACGGGATCGAGATCGTCGCCCAGTTCGCTGCCATTGTGCTCGGACATGGTGCTCAGCTTGTGCAGATGCTCGGTGGACACAATACGTTGGGCAATTTCCTGATAGCCCAGCGCTGGCGTTGAGGCATTGCTGTCGCCATCACCATCACCAGCCTCCTCCTCGGACTCGTCCTGCTCGCCCAGATAGCGCTGCTGCTGCTGCTGCTGCAGCTCTGGCGTCGCTTGCGCATTCGGTCGTTTCGCATCCAAGGACATTTTGCACAGCTTGTTGCGCAGCGCGGAGCGCGGCACATGATACTCCTTGGCTGCTTTGCGGGTACCCAGTTTATTGACCAGCACATCCTGCAGCGCACTGTTCAGATCCTCGTGACTGTAGCTGTGTCGTGCTGCTGAAATGGGCGTGGCACAGTCAGACAGAGCTCTGCAAATAATCAGTGAAAGAATTGTGTAAGTATTGTTTCTGTTAATTGATTTAAAAGGGTTGGTTTTAAATGTGCTCAAGTAGCTTATTGATTGTATATTACTTTTTATTATTTTTTATCGCATTGTTTGCCAAAAATGTATATTTTTCATGTCATCTTAGTTTTAAATAGTTTGCGTATAAGCTGTGTAATCCATAGACAATATTGTAATATAAAATGTGTCTGATAAAATTGTTTCATTATATTTTAGACCTAGTTGCTTTGTAGTTAAAATATGTCTTTATAAATAGTAAACATTTTTACTCTTGAACATAGTTTTATTCTATTTCAACTTCAACTTTCATTCTCTCACTTTGACAAAACTAAAACGATTTTGAAAGCAATTGAATTGCTCTCGAAGTGAACAATGCATTGAAGATAGAAATTTATTGATTAATATGCATATTAAACTTGTTTTATTTTTATTGAACAATTTCAGTTGCACTATTTAAATTAGGACCTATTCAAGATGTGTTTTAAGCTGGTGTTTATGTACTTTTGATCAAACTTATTTTATATGCTGCTAAAATGATATATGTATAAACAAAAATTCGAGAGCATAAGTAACCGAATTCAATTTATTTGATATCGGGTATTGACTGTAAGGGTAATTGACCAGTCAAACAGGTTTTATTCCCTTGAAGTTTTGCGAGCGCTTCATACTCTTTTGGTACTTTGTATGACTGACTTCAGTTCAAAGCGGAATACGAAAGCTGACAAAATATTATTTTCAATCCTGTCACTTCCTTTTTGCCCAGCAAATATACATTTTTTCGGTACTCATGCATTGGGCACTCACACACCCACATCCACATCCAAACACACACACACTCAAAAGTACTGACAATGAGCGCTTCTTAAATGTCTGGAGCAGGAAAAGGCGACGTTGTCCTTGTCAAAGGCAATAGCAAGGATGTAGCATAGAAAAATTTGTGACTGTTTTTTTTTTGCTTTTTTTTTTTTGATTTTGGTTGCTGCAGAGACAAAAGATGACACGCCAGGGTTGAGTGATGCTCGAGTAGCAAAGTGAGAAGGGTGGGTGAGACGAAGAAGATGTCAGCCTGCCAGCCAAGCCAGGGACAAACATGTTTTTGAAGTTCATTAGACGAATTTCAAAAAAAGTATTTTTCACTTAATGCCAAGCCCGAGCCAAGCCGCACCACTTGGCGCTTTGGTGGTGCCTCCAGCCACTCTACTAAGCCGAGGTGGAGCGTGGGATGGAGCGCACTTTTGGTAGCCCATTTCAAAAGGCAACTTTTGTGTAACACAAAAAACAACAACAACAACTGCAGCAGCAGCAGAAGCAGCAGCAGCATCAGCAGTAGCAACAACATCAGTGAAAACCGTACGAAATTTTTCTTTTCTTTATGCGCAGCCAGCAGGGAGACGCGATTCGAGACGAGAGGAGACGTGACGCGACGCAACGGGACGGGACGGGTCGGGACAGGACGAGACGAGTTGAGACCAAGACCCTTTTGGCAACACTGTGGTATGGGCAAAAGCTAGAATGAATGGGTGGTTGGGCGGCTCTCTGTCCGCGGCTGTACTGCAGTACATTGCACTGGCTGTCGCCAGGCAGCGGAAACGCACAGCTTCTTGCCCTCGCTGTGGGCTGTGGGCCAACCCAGGAAAGTTGGCGGAAAAGTTGTCGCTTTTTTATGTTGCTGTTGCTGTTGTTGTTGTTGTTGCAACTTTTGTTTTTATTTTTTTTTTAAAGATCGGGCGAGCGGGCGTCTGGAAAATGTCTGAAAATTGAGCAGACAACAAAAGTGTGCGGCTGCTGCAACAGCAGGTGGCGAATGGCAATGACTGACCGAAAAAAAGAAAACCGAAACGGGAATGGGCGATATCATTACCAACAGCGATAGTTTTTTGAAGCTCCTGTACATATATAAATCTCTATATATATATGAATATAATGTGACCGAAATATTAAATATGAAAATGTTCATAACTGCGATCCAGCCGAGCCAATGCAATTTTCAGCTGCCAAGGTGCGACTGCAACAAAAAATATAAAAAAAAATAATTGTAAAAAAAGGATTTGCGAAAAATAAATGAAAAATGTCATTTCAATGTCGTTTTTGATTTTTGTTGTTTTTGTTATTTTTGTTGGTGTCGTTTACCTTTTGGCTGCACTTCAATTGCAATTTGCCGTTGCAACAGCCGCTGCTGGCGCCGACGCTGGCAGCATTGTCGTGCCATGAATTTTGTTGCTGTTCCTGTTGTTTTTGTTGCACGCATGTAGCCAGGATTCATTTGCGCTGCAACCGTTATTTTTTTTTCGTTTCGTTTTTAATTTTTGTTTTTTTTTTTTGTGTGTTGTTTGTTAATGTCGTTCACTGTTTTTTGCTCGCAATTTTCGCTTTTTTCGTTTTTCTGACATTTTGTTTTAATTTGTGGCAGCAACGGCAACAGCCACGCAAAAAAGGGTTGATTTTTTGCATTATTTTTGTTGCATTTTTTCGTCGTCGTTGTTGTTGTTGTAATTTTGACGCTTACTGCAATTGCATCGGCAACTGCTGCTGCAATTGTTGTTGTTGTTGCTGACATTTTTATGCGCATATCGCATTTTTGTCGGTTCATCCCACACCTTTTGTGTACACAACCATACACACATACACTCATACACTTATACTCACACACACACAACCTTACACACCCATAGCTCCCCCTACATACACGTTATGCACAATGCAACCAATGCGTTGGTAATAATTTTTGGTTTTAACGGGTGCGGGAGGGTTAAAGTTAAGTACACATATAATTACGGCTGAGTCTCTGCCTTAATGCGACGCGCGATAAAATAGTAAAATGGACTTAAAACCGAAACCGATTGAAATATTGGAAAACAAATTAAAGTTCTGCGGCTTTAAACATACAAATAAAGGTGTAGAATCTTTAAGAATCGAATATATAACTTCAACGAATTATGTTCACCGACTATTTAACTATCAAATTGTGTAATTTATAATTGATATTTATGATTGAACAAAGAGTATTTATATATCTGTAATACTATTAAGTGTAATTTAAGTGAGAACAAGATATTGAATTGGATTTCATATAGATTCCTAGTACTTCTTAACTCAATTTAATCAATGATATGGTCGATATTTCAGTCCGTTGTTTCAAGCGCATTACACTTTGTATACAGTTTTATGTTTATAGGGTATAATAGTAGTATTAACGTTGGAGTTCCGTACAAGTTACGCATAAATTTCTTGTTTTATTCAGGTAATTACTTGGTTCCCTCTAAAGCGCGCATGTAATTAATTTAATTTTTTTCTGTTCTGTTCTGTTGTCTTTTCATTTTGCTGCTTACATCGTGGCCGCTAAATTTGTCAGAGGCGTTGAGGGGCGAATGGAGGCGTGGCATGCTGTGAACAATGTCCCGTTCCATGACGTTCATTGTACAAGTATGTGTGTGTGTGTGTGTGCGTATCTGTGTGACTGAGGACGCCGAATGCAATTTTGTTAAAAAATGCATTAAGTGCATGTGTGCGACTGCATGTGTGTGTGTGTGTGTGTTTGTGTATGTGTGAATGTGAGAGTATGTGTTTTGTATTTGTGTATGAATGCAATTGCATGTTTGTTTTTGTTGCCAATCCAGGCGCCCCAACCACGTTGCCCTCCCTCTACCACCCACGCTTCTCTCCCTGCACTGCCTGCGCAGCAAACAACCACCTACACACACACATTTGCTTGCATGCATATGCAGTTGCATTTTTTCGGAAGATATGCACTCATTTTTGTTTTTACGGCCAGCGCTGTCGACGTTGCCGTCGGCGCTGCTGTTGCAGCTGCTGCAGCTTTTTTTTATACTTTTTTTTCTATCTCGCTCATTTAAGCGACATTTCATTCACGCACGCACATAGTAGCTGCACATAACGGCAATCAGGCTGGCAGCCAACCAGGCCGACCCACCTGACCATCCAACGGTCATTGAAATGACAAAAATATGGCAAAAACGAGCGAGGGCGAATCAAGGGGGCGACGCGGCATGCGTCGAAAAAAACAGTTAAAAAATTGCTGGCCTGCAGCGACAACAACAACAACAACAAAATACAAACTGCCAGCTACAACAACGATTGCAACAATAGCAAGTGCACGCATTAAGCTTCTTTTTATTTTTTTTTTTTGTTGTAGTATTTTTTGGGGCCAAATGGGGAAAGCGACGTCGCTGTCGCTGTCGCCGTCGCCGTCGCTGCTGGCGTCTCGCTGCCGACGCCAACGCCATCAGTCTATGCCAGTTATTACGCTCGCAATCTTTTTTCGGTGCATTTATGTGTGTTTGTGTATGTGTGTGTGTGTGTGTGTTGGCGATTGTGTGGGTGTATACGGAGAATTTTTCGTAAACGAAAAATAATGAATACATATATACACAGCGACAACACTCTGCCGCCTGACCCCCTTGTGCACCCCTTTGGCACATTGCATAGAAAAAAGTAGCAAGAAGAAAGACCAAAAAAAAAAAAATACATAAAAAAATAAAAGCGTAAAAAATGTAAAACGCAGTGGGGAAAAAAAGCGATCGATATGATGCACTTATTTTCTGTCTGCTGCGCCCGGTACCGACGACGACGGCAACGGCGCTGTCGCTGCTGCAGCGTCGACATCTCGACGCTTGACTTGGAGTGGCGATGTCGCCGCCTCATCATCAGCCACAGCCACAGCCATAGTCGTAGCAGCAGCAGCAGCAGGCGCAGCCGCAGCAGTAGCAGTAGCAGTATATAAAAAATCCGTAATAATAAACGCTCGAAAAAAGCCAAAAATTGCAGCGTCAGTAGCTATTGTACTTCAAGTGTTTGGCTGAGTCCTTGGGGAGGAGGGCATGAAGATGCAATTTTCCAACTTTGTCTGTGTATGTGGCTGTGACTCTTATCATTCGTATAGCGGACACTGGACACGTTTGGCACAGCACATTGAACACTTGTCGATCTGCGGCTTTTAACTCCTCTAGCCTGCTGCAGTTCCTGCCAACTTACTTCCTGTGGTTTTGCGGCTATTGTTTTTGTTTTGTTTTTGTGTGTTGTTCACACATTTTTCGTTGCTTTTTATTACAACAATTAAAATAGGTGTACGATGATGCAAGGCAGCAGCAGTACAAGGAGCAACAGAAGCAGCAGTTGCTGCTAACAAACACTTGGCCATGCTTTAGACAATAGACAAGGACTTGTGTTTTGCGGCTCAAGTGGCAGCCGCAGTAGCAGAGCCAGCAGCAGCAGCCGTTGCCGGCGTTGCCACAGTTGCCACAAAAAAATAACCAAAAAAAGTAATGACGAAAATTGTGGAAGTGTTGGAAAATTATGCACACGTCGTCGACACCCCTGACGTTTGTCTCTGTGGTCTGAAGTGCATACACACATACATACAGACACATACACATATAAAACATAAATAATAGGCTAGGTGGCTCTGAACATTTTAGAGTAATTAAAAAAATGGCGAGTAAAATATAAAGGAGTTAAGATGCAGCATGAAATACATAAAATTTGTATTCTCTACATTCTCCTTTTATTTCTTTCTCAATGGGTTTTTTCTCTTCTCTTTTTTGGCTGCTCAAATTTGATGCAAATTTATGCGGCAGCAGTGTTCTCGCCCCTGCCAGCGTCAGTAATTAAGCGTGGCCAACGCAGTGCTGACTGCGTGCTATGGGGCGTATGTGTAATTTTCGGCATCGTTTCATAAACCGCACTCAAACCACACACCATACTACATAGACACACACATCACACACTTATGTGCACACATGCATCCACACACACACACACACACACATACGTGCATGTGTAATTGCACGATTTTTACATAGGCTCACAACAATAAAGCTTCCCGAGTACCACCCAGCCGGCCAGCCCTGTTAAGTATGCTACAATAAATGCAGTGTCAGAGGCGGGCCAGTGCCTAAAGTGCAATTATCTCATGTATTGTCTGCTGGAACACCATATATTTTTTGTATTTTTCTTCTTTCTTTTTTTTTTTTTTTAGTTAAAGTTGGGCATCATGAATTTATTATGCTGTTTGTTCGTCTAACCAAATCTCAACAGCCCTAATTAGTGGGTTGATAAATGTTCCATCTGACAGGCTTCCTACACAAGTGTGTGCATATAGACTATTAAAAAGTTTTGTAAGAGGGAAACTATTCGATGTGGCTGTAGAGTAATGAGGAGCACAAGGAGTTTTGGCTTTCCAAATTTAAACCACGCAAATTATGACCACATGCGGTTAAATTCTCACATTTATAATTGTACTAAGGATTTCCAACTTTAAATGCAGTATTGTTGTGATTAAAAACTTTAAAAACACATCGAATAATTTTTAGAATTGGGATAGGTGAATATTTGTCTTCAGGGTATATCGTAGTATAACTTTTGAAATATTTGATTATATGAGACTGTCACGAAATTGGTGAATTTAAATTTATTAAATTAAAAAAAAATGGTAATTAAATACAAAACTAATTACCTCAAATACAATTTTCACATGGCAGTGCATTTAAGGTTCGTATCCTTAAACATATTTTGTTTGTATTTTTTCATTTATATAATTTTATATAGTGCATTGATAATGTCTCTTTTTTTTACGTTTGCGCACTGCCAGATTTAAATGTGTATCAATTAAAAAAATATATATATACAACAAAAATGCAAGTGAATGCATCTGTTAAAATACAAGTATATAAGAATTATGTTGTTGTGTCTGTGTGTGTGGGTGCTTACCTGGCTGTCTTTATATCGCCGCTAATCGATGAATTTGGCGATGGTTTGCTGCTTAGATCCAGAGGCGCATCCGCACTGGGACTGGGCGTATCTTTGAGTGCGGGACTGGCGGCGGCGGCAGATACTTCAGAGGTAGTTGGTGTTACCGAGTTAGTATGTTGTTGATTGGCCAGCGTGCTCATCAGATTGAAATCGGCCATCATTGAGAACTGTGCCAGCTTGGCGGCCATTGATTCCATCGATGTCATTTCTACTGCTTGCTGGGTGAGCAGCTTCTGAAGTTCTATTGTACTTGCTGATGACGATGTTGTAGCGTTGTTTGCGGCGTTGCGTACTCTATGCTTGTTGCAACTGTTGCTGTTACTGTTGTTGTTGTTGTTGTTGGTATTTCTGCTACTATTGTGCAGTGATGCGCTTGAGCTGCTGTCGCTATCGTGCTGCATGGAAAAGTTGCGTTAAATGTACGATAATTTAATGTCATATAAATAGAATAATATAGAAAGAGAGTACGGATGAAAGAGATAGTGAGAGAGGGAAAGGGAGAGAGAGAGAGAGAGAGAGAGAGGGCAATAGGTTACCTGCTGCTCAGCTGTGCCGTTGTTGTTGTTGCTGTTGCTGCTACAATTAAGGCTAGACGCGGTTGCCGTTGTTTCGACCACCAATTCGCCTTTGGCGTTCACCGTTAACAAGCGACCGTTAACACAGAAATTGCACTTATCAAACGGTGTCCAATCGTTGGGTTCTGACGGTGGTGATGGTGAGCCGGAGCTACTACGTGATGTTCCACTTGAGTCGTGGTCGTGTGATGTGTGGTTCTTCTCTGCAATAAGCACATGAAAACAATTGAGTCCAACTTTCGATTAAACCAAACACTTCAAACTGATCGATGGAACTGAGTCCCGGATTGTCGTATTATATTGGCTATTTCGGTCTCAAATCTTTAATCTTTCCTATCCAATTTTTAAAAATATAATACAAATGTTACAAAGATCAGAACGACTTAAATGAACTGATGCAAATAGGTCTTGGAAAAAAAAAACTATAAATACTTCGAGTAAGGACTCAGGTAATCGACTGAAATATATCAGAACTCAACTGATAAATAGATTGTTTGGTAAACATTTATTTAAAAGCCCTAACCAATCTGTTAGGTGTGAAATTGACTTACCAAAATCTCTTTCAAATTGCAGTGCGCCGTTGTTATTGTTATTGTTGCAATGTTGGCCGTTGGGCTGCGCTAAACGGTGGTTCAGTGGCTTCTGATAGATGCTGTCTTCTGTTGTAGATATGGGCTGTTGCTCGGCGATATTCAATGGGTTGAACGTCAGTTGATCTTGATAATGTTTCCATTTCCTGCGACCCATGAATTCCTCAGCGACACGTTCTAGACCTAAAATGGAGCAATCGAAAAAAAGCAATTCATTGTATATGAGAATTCAAGAAGGTGCCACATCAAATATGCATAAGGGAAATAGGTTATTAAGCTTTATTATTTTTCTTTTTTAATTTCTGTATAATTTGCGTATAGTAGTATTTATTCGATTTTTTTTTCATTTTCTAGCTTGGGAATTTGTACAGACAGAAATGACTTAATTGAAATGCAAATAAAGGAAAGAAATAAAAAGAAATAAAAAGAAATGAGCCAATGGTAAACACACACACACACACACATACACACACACCCTGCGTATGCGTATTATTATTAGGTGTACACTTGGCAAGGCATATGACTGAGTAGGTTGGGCTTGCGAGCGGAAAATTGATAGATTTGAGCTCGATGTTTGCATATGAGAACTGTGTTTCCCTGCGTTTCCTTGCGAATGGCGCGTCTAATTGCCACAAAAGTTATGCAATTTAATGTAAAATGCATAGGCCGCACAAGGCAACTGAGGCCACTCCAGTTGTCGTGCATGCGTGCCGCAAAAGCGAAAACTTTTGTGCTTATATGGCAAAAAAAAAAAGGTTACGCGTCAACTCACACGAAATGCGATTTAAATATCGAGGCAGTTAGAAGAACAGAGTGTGCTGCCACACCAGGCGACTAGCAACTCGCATAGCTGCGAATTTGGTGGCAATGTAACATTAATTTGTAGCCACTTTGTTGCCAGCATTTGAATTTACAAAACTCCTCACACATTTGCTATATTTATTGTTATTATTATTTTGTGTGTTGTTTTTTTCTTTTTTTTTTTTGTATATTATTAAAGCGGAAGCTTGGCGAAATTTTCGCGCCCCCTAAGTCAACCATGAGCTGTGGCCACTGAATGCCTTGCCGCTGTGCTGCTGTGTCCTGATTGCGCAAAAGTGCGTGCAGTGCGTATGGAGTTCGTATGGGGTGCGTGCGTTGGCTACTGTTAGCTGGCACCTCAAGTGTGCCATAGGCGCCAGCGGTAGCAGCTGCTTTTTTCTACTACTACTACTGCTACTGCTCATTCCAGCGCATAACTGGAGCGCCATGTTCAAAACTTTTTAGCGTTCAAATTGTATTGCAACTGCAGTTGGTTGCAGTCGCTGCAGCCGCTGTTGTTGTTGCTGTTGTTGTTGCTCTTGTTGGTGTTGTTATTCTTTCTACCCGTTGCATTTTTGAGGCGCTCAAATAAACAGGGTCGTCGTCGTCACCGTCATCGTGGCCGCTGTTACCTCGGGGGTTGCTGATGTTGCCGTTGCCGTCGTTGAAGTCGCACGCACAAAAAAACGTCGAAAAAAAACGAGGTGAATGCACGCGCGGGACTTACGAAACTCCAACTTTAAAGTGCAGCCAACAAACACACATAAACACACACACACACATTACGCACACTTGCATATATATAAGTAAAATTCCGAGGGTTGCTCTATGCCAGCGTCGCTGTCGCAGCGGTTGCATACAATGCGGTGCACGCACGCACGCACAAAATGTCTACCTAGCCATAGGCATGTGGATACATATATATTGCTGTGTGTGTGTGGTTGCGCGTGTTTGGGTGGCAAAGCGACACACATTGCGTATTATGACGACGTCGGCCGCAAGGTGGGATTTCAATACAGGTGCTGCAGCTGCTGCTGCTGCTGCTTCTGCTTCGTCGTCGTCTGCTTAGATTATGCCAAGCAAGCGCCTGAATGTATGCTAAATAGATTTTTCAGTTGCGCATAGAAAGGTGCATGTCGTCAGCTTTAGACATTGTCGATAGGCATACATATACATAAATATATATACATATACGCACACATACAGTATCCATGCAAGGCGACATGTCAGCTGGGTCGACAGACATCTGCCCGGTCTACTGACTACCTTCTGCCCTCTGTTTGCCAATCTGTCGTCTGTCTGTCTATCTGGCTGTTTGTTTGGTGGTTTGCTTTGTGGGCGCCCTAAAACTAACAGCGAATCAAAAACGAAAGTGCGTTTTATCACAGTTAGACGCAAACTTAAATGCCTGCTTGTGTTGTCCTTTAAACGGGGCGTATGATTAATATGCAGTTTTTTGAGGTAAGTTGGGGAAGAGCAACTAAAAAAATAATAAAATAAAAATAAAAAAAACCAATTAAACACGCAAACTCATTTAAAAAGCGGAACACCAACACACATGCACACACACATACATACGAACACAGGGAAATGCCATGTGCCATGAGAGACAAGCAGTCAACCCATGAAAAAAGGCAAAAGAAATACACGAAAAAAATGCAATTATCGATTAATGTACACATTATATGGCTCATACTCGCATATATACGTATATTCACATATATACATGTGTCTGTATGTCTTTGGTAGATAACCCCTTATGTACGTGTATGTAATTTAAATATGTACATACATATCTACATATATCATATGCACATATATAGTCGCTACCTTTTCGCGTTTGTATAGTAGGCATATATAAATGTAATACGCATGCAAAAAAAAATAAAAAATCACATTGTTTTTTGTACTTTTTTTTGCTCATCTTTTAATTTCATTGTGGTTCGGGTGTTGGGGCTTTTTCATGTCATTTACGCACGTTATATAAGCAAATTTCAGTAATTATATACATATATATATATATACATATATATATATATATATCTATATATAATGTAATGCCCATCGATACAAAATGGCTCGTCTCTTGTTGCTGCTGCCGTCATGTGCATTATTCTTGTGGCATGCAACGTGCCAGGTGCCCCAATGTGCGGGCACACAACAAGCCTCCTAGGGGACAGCGTCAACTTTTAGCCACGCTGACATGTCGACAACAACAACAACGACAACCTGACATTTTTTTAAGGCCCTTACGTTATTTTGGTTTTAGCTTTGGCTTTCCACTGAATTTGCTCTGGTTTCTGATGTAGTTTTGGTAACTAGAGTGCGTGCCGTAATGAAATGTCAAATGGTGGCGGATATAGATTATCAGACTTGCAAGACATTAGAGTGTATATGCATAAGTAGCATGATGACGCAAACGCTGCATGGCGCACACTCAAATGTACGTCTGCCACAAAAGTCTTGAATTCTTAGCACGTGCGTACAACTGACAAGTGGATAGAGTATCAAAAGTACTAAATACGAAACCGGCGACACCTGCAACGCGTGCACAAAATATGAACTTCATATGATCAGTTTCTTTTACATGTACCAAATACAATTAGATTAACCAATTGCTAATGCCATTAAAAAGAAATATTATTGAAATTGTTATTAAACTAAATGAAATGACTTAAGATTAAATTTATAGTCACTTAATCAACTTAAAGTGAATCAATAAATGATTAATTCACCTGAATATAATGGAAATGGAAAAAAATGATTTATTTTTCAGTATGATGATAATTGTTTTATAAGCAATTTTAATTTTATAGCTCATTAGCTGCTAATTATTTCTCAATTATTTGTTCGTAAGAACAGTAAAAATATTTATTGAGCTTCAGGTTGGTCAACTATTGAACGAAATGCTAAAATTAAAGCTATTTTCTGTGTATTCATAAATATAATATAAAAATGTCATAATTAAACTAAAAACTTGACATTAAAAACAGTTGGAGTGCATTGTTGCTGTTGGTTCAACACACGCCATTGCATTTTGCATAGCATTTTGAGTAATGTCGAATGTCAACGTACTTGCAACTCCATTTGTGGGTGGACTGAGTCGGAGGCGGTTGCTAGTTAGTTAAAGGACACCGCCATGTTCCTTTTAATGTTCGCTGCTTTCAGTCAATTATGTTGTTGTTGTTGTTGTGGCTGTGTTTGGCGTCACATGTCCTGCCGCAACAACAAATTGGTTAGAATGTATGAGAGAGAGAGATAAAGAGAAAGAGAAGGGGAGAGAGCGACAAAATAAAAACAGCCAAGTTTGAAAAGCCGAAAGTGAAGCAAAGAAATGAGTTTCGTTAAAATAGGAAAAACAACTACAACAAACACTGGGCCAAAAGAACGGAGCGGTACAAAAGCAACCAAACGAGGAGCGGAAAACGGTGAACTGCGAACGGCGCGTGGTTCGCTTGTGCGTTTTTAGGGGCTTGTTAAATGTTCTGTGCAATGAAAAGGACATGCGACTTGCCGCACAGGGCCCTATCAATGCATGTGTGTGTGTGTGTTTATGCATGTGCAAATAAGTAAGTGTGTGTGTGTGTGTGTGTGTATTGAAACTTGACAAGTTTGCTTGTGTGTGTGTATGTAAAACGCTTTCGGCAGAATTGTGCACCTTGTATAGCAATGCAAAGCGCCAGCGTTGAAATGTAAATGAATTGCACAAAATGCAAGGACATACGCAGGTAGAGCAATACACACACACACACATACACAGATACACACACACCCAAAAACAACTGGGATGCCTCCAGTGCTGTCAGTGTATGCGGCCCCAAGGACCCCATAAGCCACCCTTTCGGCTGCTAAACTAAAAGCTACCCCAAATTAAAAAAAACTTGGCAATTTACATACTGACAACATCAATACCCAGGCACTCACATACACAGATGCACTGATGTGTATGCAAGTGTGTGTGTGTGTGTGAGTGTATTTTTTTTTGTGCTTAGCACTTTTTGTGTGTCACTTTGGCATAGAAATTGTCGTCGTCATCGTTGTTGCCGTTGTGGGCATATGGAAAATTAGAAGCAGCAAATAAATTCGATTGCCCTGCTCTTCGGTGCGCTTCGTCTTCGCCTCGTCTGACATCGGCTCGGCTGACATGTTGCTGCTGTTGTTGCTGTTGCTTTTGGTGTGGGAGTCCCTCGTTTTGAAAATGTATGTTTCGGTGCTATCGTTGTCTCACTCTAATGCGCTTTCGTATGCACTTTTGGGTCTGCATGCAATTTGATTGGCTGGCCATACACATTTCGGCCAAATTTGAAAACTTTTTTTTTTTGAGTCTTGTTGTTCGATTGCATTTGATTGCATGTTTGTTCAGCACTTGAAGTGACTGTGCT